ATAGTACAAGACAGTACTTCTTGCTGTGCTGAGAATAATCTAACTGTGCACAGCCACAGATGGACTACAGTTTTTTGTATCTGACTGAACTCTTGTCTTTAAGAGTTGAAAGACAAGGCTTACCTTAATTGTTTTAAATGTGTTTCCAAGTCAAATATAAATAATATGGTCAACATTGATGCTCATGTATGAATTCATTTCAAATAAAAAAATACAACATATAAAACACAAAATTAAACAAGAATAAATGTAATATATAAAGTATAGGAATAGACAACAAGAAAAAATGGAGGAGTTGAAGTTATGTGACAAGAGCAGAGCACAAACTTTGCTAGTGAAGCTTTTTGGCTGGATCTGGTTTAGCCATAAATGACAAAGACTATGTCAGCAACAGCACGACCAAATTTACTGAGGCAATAGGACAGTGGATCAGGAGAAGAGATTTCTTTTGCATACAATTTTGCATCCTGAATAACAACAAAAATGAAGAAGAGGAATCTGGATCTGGGGTGGCACAGCAGAAGAGGTAGGCAAGAGCACAGAGGCCCCCGAAAGAACCACTGGAATAGAAGACTCACTCACAGAATCTAAACTAACCAGCAATGAATTAAATAAACAGTAATTGTTTTATCTCGAGTATCTTGTTTTTGGAATTAAAAATTGTTGGAAGTAAAAACTGCAATTGAAAATAGTGTTTGATTAATTTCCCAGTCCTAGCTGGGGGTGAGGAGGATTCTTATTTATTCACTATAATGAGATAACATAGCTGTCTTGTGACTGATAAATTGCACTATGATGAAATAAAATCTCTTCAGGGGTCTGTTTTTGCAGATGTTCCCCAACACTCTTGGTGATCTAGGTTTCTCAGAAAAGTATTGCTTAGCTGCTGCAAAAGTTCAGGTTTGAAGATAATGTCCATTCTGTCCATAAAAGGGGTGTATCAGAAAGAAATGCAAAGCTATATAATTAGGGATGGAAGGATTGATCAGTTATGTATTGGTATCAGACCATTTTCAGCCCAAATATGTGATCTGCAATTGGCCGATATTTCTCTGACTTAGCCAATCCTGAGAGCTGATTAACATAAAACATATAAGCCATATTTTGCCTGAAACGTCAAAATGTAACTGCTGCACCATTTAGGGAGGGACAAAAAACTGCCAAACAAGAAGCAGGCAAATAGAAAGCCAACCTCAGCCTCGTCATATCTGTTTTACTAATAAAAACATTTTTACTGTAGTACATATTTGGCTCTTATTTCTCTGTAAATTCATTGTGTAATTAACGTGGTTTGTTGTTGTAGCTTTGAGAATAAATTTCTGTTAGCATGCTAGCATTTACGCACTAATCTTAGCTTAGCTTACACTGCACTAGGTTCATGACCTTTGGCTTTGGCAGGGACTGAAAATAAAAATAAGACACAGAACTTCAAAAGGGACTGTATGTCAGCCCTTTTAGTTCCATTTAGTTTTAGGCTCCAGTTATTTCAATGATTACTGCTACACCTTTTAAAGTGGAACTGGGAAAATTCAAACAAGAAGTTGGTGAAAATGAAGCTGACTAGCTTCAAGATTTGAAAGGCATGAAAAAAGACGAAGATGTTCCTCCTTTTCTGCTTGACAGGTGGGTAAAATGCACTTATTTTTACTGTTTCACAGAATCATTAGATCAGTATTTTGGTGTCCTGTTTGCTAATATTTGTGGTAAACTTCACAGTAACAATTGTAGTGACAGCTTGCTAATTCACCACCTAGCTAAGGTTAGTTAGATTACTTGCTGGGTGATTGACTGTGCTGACATTATATCATGGCATTTGTCCATACAACATTTGCAAAGGGTTTTATGGCCACAAAGATCTAAAAAAACGGCTGTTTGCCTTTGCAATGCACATCCATACATTTGGAAAGCAGAACATCTGAAGGAGCAATGAAGGGATGGGTGTATTTGTTTTGCTGTTGAGAATCGTGCCTTTAAATGTGGCATCTAGCCCCACCCTCGATTGGTATCAGCTATCGGCCCTTGTGTTGAAAGGCAATCAGCAATCCATATCAACCTTAAAAACAAGGAGTGGTACATCTCTATATAAAATTGTTCACCTCAAAGCTATGTGCAGTAGGAACATTACTAATAACAAAAGTATTGCCTAGAACTGCCACATTCCCCAGGGTGAATGCTGTCTTTTTTGTTACGAGTGCCTCTTGCCAGTGGATGCACATCTAGTGAGTTCAACCACAGGGAACCAGCTAACTGATTGACACTGTCATCAGTGTGGGACAGTGATTAAGATTTAAGCTTCAGGACGGCATTAAGGTGGCAACAGTTCACACAAATCTGCTAACTGCCATTCTTCTTCCTCGCCTACACTACCAGAGCTGCTCTGGGGCTACACAACGACTCAACATCCCCACGCTACTGCCATCTCGCTTGCTCCATAATCTGCCATGCTGCCAGTGTGGCCAGAGTTGGACTGGGGGAACGATAACAATGTTAACATGGTGCAGGACAAAATCAGTGTATGTTCAATCCTTCTCACATGCAGCAAACACATCTATGTACTTCTTCAGTAGTCCCCACAGTCTCAGACTTTTACTTTCACTGAGCTTCCTACTGCTCTTTTTTCCACAGTTCTCTGACCTTCTCTTTGTTAAGGTATGCAGCTTCTTCCAAAGTTTTCACTAGCTCTTTTCAATTTAAGGCACCACCTTCAGCCTCCGGAGTACCCACCTTACCGCTGGCACCAATAGAGAACTGGGGTGATCCACGTGCCACAACAGTTCTTCAGAGATGAGCTGAATCCGGGCTTGACCCACGCATAGTTTTCTAGCTGTAATACCAGCAATGCCCTGGCCGCAATGAGAAAATCTAGCTACTGTATGCAAGGGTCCGAATGGGTGCGAGCCAGAACTCATGCAGTTGTCCTCCCACTCCAAAATCCACTTGGCTGCCATTACCCAAACATAGGAACAAGCCTACCACTGGCAGATTTTAAACTCACCTCATTGGTTGCCCAACTCTATAGGGCTCTCTTTTCTGGGCCATGCAGTACACCAAGCTAAAGAAGGCAGATGATCGTCCCTGAGAGGTATACACTTCTCTACTGTCATATATTAACTATTACGTGCAACTGTGAGCAAAAGGATCCAAGTGTACCCAAACAAGAAACCATGGAAGACTTTTAAATCAAGAGACCCCTCAGCCTACAGCGTTGCCAGAGCGAACTTTAAGAGAGGTATCAAGTCTTCAGAACTACAAACAACAAACAGAGGAAGACTTCAACGGTAACTCCAAGCAACGGCAGATGTGGCCAGGCATCCAGTTCATCCCGGATTACAAAAGAAAAAAATAACACAAAGCTTACACCAGCCAATAACACATCCAAACAAGCAGAGGACTTTAACAACTTCATTGCTTGGTTTGTCACAGACAATAATCAACTTCCAGTCAGTTTCAAACTGCTGGGAGAACCACAGACTCTCGTTCTTCACATTCACCAGGTGCAGCAGGTCCTCTACAGCATCCACACACAGAAGCACACATCCTTCACCCTCACCTCGAGCACCGGCGTTCCACAGGGCTGTGTGCTAAGTCCTCTACTCTATGCACTCTTTACACAAGCCATTCATAACACATACATTACTGTTAAGTTTGTGACTGACTTGACAGTCAACAGTAAAGCCAAAAAAGACATCCAATGTGTTGTGAAAACAGCATAGGATATTGTTGGCATAGAGCCGTCATCCTGAGAACATTTTCACAGCACTCGCAGTGTGAGGAGGGCTAAGAACATCATAAGAACATCAAGACACTGTAGACACCATCATGTCATTCATTAGGCAGGCCCTTTAGGTCAATCTACACATGCACAAAAAGACAAAAAAACAGCCTCATTGGTTTGGCATTATTGAACTCAAACATGTCAGTCTGAAAACTGATTTGCTGCTAACACTGGAGTATGTGCAACATTTACTTCATACCATTTCATGCACTGGTTATGTACAGTATTTTACAATAACCACACATCATTTAACACACCATCACTTTATATCTTCATAAAGGTGGCTAATGTGTTTGTCTCTATTTCCAAAGTCATGATGATCTGAGAAATCATACAGAGCTCTGCCTTTGTGCCAGTTATTAGATGAAAACGGGTGCATTCATAAATCAGATTCTGTCTTCAGAAGTACTCATCGTATTTGCACAGTATAAAACTTACTATTGCGTCCATCGCTACAAAAGAACAGCTTGATAATGTTTCATTTGTGATAGCATACATCAATAAACTGATTTGGACCTCAGCATTGCCTTTGTCCAGTTTTGAAGCTGACTGAGAATGCTAAAAGTTGGCCCATTCATGTGGAGGGTCAAAAGTAAAACTTGTCAGGAGATTAAAAACTTGTCACCTCTGATACCATGCATAGAGTTTCAATGTTTAAAAGAGACTAGAATCAAGTAACACTTGTACTGTAGAAGGCGACAAAAAAAAAATCTCTTCAAGTCACATCACACTGTATATAACATTGCTGTCATAACAAAATTTTATATCACCAAAATGGCAAATTTACAGGAAAATTAAAAAATCATTTTAACTTTTAATGTAAGTTAAGGTAATTCTGAACCACTGTTATAAGTTAATTCATTATTAAGTGCTAATAATTAAGTAAAAAGGCAGTTATTAAAATAAGTTAAGCTAAGAAAAGTTAAGAAAAAGAAAAAGTTAAGAAAAAAATGAGATACAAGGTTATGCTCAGACAGCAATGATATATGAAATGCTCATGAGAAGACTTTCTATGATTATGATATGACATAAGATTTCTATGCTTTCTGCACTATTAACACTTGGAAGTCACACCTCCCAACTGCGGCCCACCTGCGTAATCCTGTCGCAGAGGGTTTGCATATCCATGTATATAAATACGACTAATCCTTCTTATCCAACCAGGTATAACATCAGATCTGTCACACACATACTCATTATCTGTACTCAACTGTTGGACAGGTGAATGGAGTATCTTTTTACTCTTTTGCAGGTGGTAATAGCCATCATCAGTTTTTCTAGGACTAATGAGATCTGTAGCCTCCAAGGAGAGTATGTATACCCACAACTTTCAAAGGAAGGTGATATCACAATTGGAGGGATTTTTCCATTTCATAGCAGTTGGGAAATACCAGACTTGGCCTATTTGGTCAAGCCACATCCACCGGAATGCAGGAGGTAAGAAGCAAGAAAAAATAGGCCAGGTGAGCCACACTTACACATCAGTAATGATTCCATCCTAAAATAATGTGTGCATTTGTCTCTAAATTTGTTTTGTGCAGTCTTGATTTCAGGGGCTTCCAGTATTCTCAGTCCTTGATTTTTGCAACAGAGGAGATAAACAACAATTCCTCATTACTGCCTGGAGTCTTGCTAGGTTACAAGATCTATGACACCTGCACATATACAGCAATGACAGTTAGAACAGTCATGGCACTTGTTAATGGACATGAGAAAACTGTTTTGGATGAGCCCTGCACAAAGCCAGCCCAGGTGCTATCCATAATCGGTGACACATACTCATCACCCTCCATGGCTATAGCAAGTAGTATTGGACCTTTCAGGATTCCCATGGTAAGAATTTATTTTCTAATCAAACTTATGACTATTGTAACAGTAAAAAAAATGTCAGCGTAAACTATAAAATAAAGATCATCATATCATGTCATAACTGTTTTTAATATTATGTGTTTTCCAAGTTGACAGTAAAGACTGACATATCTGAGTGAATCCATTGTAGATCAGTCACTATGCCACCTGCAACTGTCTAAGTGACAAAAGGAAATACCCGTCATTTCTGCGCACTATTCCCAGTGATTACCACCAGAGCAGAGCACTGGCAGAAATGGTCAAGCATTTTGGCTGGACATGGGTCGGAGCGATAAGGAGAGATGATGACTATGGTAACAGTGGGATGGCTGCATTTACTGAAGCTGCAGAACAGCTGGGCATTTGTTTAGAATATTCCCTTCCATTCTTTAGAACCTACTCACAGGAAAAAGTGCTGAGAATAATTCAGCAGATCAAAAGCTCTACTTCTAAAGTAATTGTAGGATTTCTGGACGACATGGATTTGGAGATTTTGCTTCGTGTGTTTTCTGAACACAACATAACTGGATATCAGTGGGTGGGAACTGAGGCATGGATTTTTGATCCAGTATTGGCTGCACTGGATAAACACAAAATATTGCAGGGAGCCATAGGGCTGGCTATCCCCAAAACAACAGTGACAGGTCTGGAGGACTTCATTCTGGATATACACCCCACTGAAATCTGCTGGCCGTGAAATTTTCCCTAAATTTTGGGAGGCTCTGTTTCAGTGTAAATATACGATACAGAATGACTCTGAGACTATAACAGTGTGCACAGGTGAAGAGAAACTGTCAGAGATCAAAAACACATTTACAGACATGTCCCCGATGCCAATTTTCAGTAATGTGTATAAAGCAGTATATGCTGTTGCCCATACCCTACACGACCTTCTTGGCTGCACGCAAACATGTCCTACAAAGAAGCAGCCTGATCCTTTCACAGTGAGTTCAAAGTCACATTATGAACAAATCTGCAATTAAGCCACAGAACTTTGGACACACAATGGCATGAATTTGAATTAAAAAAAAAAAACTCTATAAACTCTTTCTGACAAAATGTATTAACATATAAATGTTTCTCTATTTCTCTGTAAGTTTCTGGAACATCTCAAAAGGGTGCGTTTTAAAACCAAAGATGGTGAAGAAGTTTATTTTGATAAAAATGGTGATCCTCCAGCAAAGTATGATATAATAAACTGGCAGACAAGTGAAGAACATCAACACAAATTTGTCACTGTAGGTTTGTATGATTCTTCTTTTCCTGCTCACAATCGATTAGCAGTAAACATGGCCTCTATTGTGTGGGCACAAAATAATAATCAGGTGAGCAAAAGGCAGAAAGTTACACCTTGGTCTCAATAAAAGAATAACATTTTTAGGCAAGTAAATATATTCTTTGATCATAGGTGCCGGTGTCTGTGTGCAGTGAGAGCTGCCCTCCAGGAACCAGGAAGGCTGTGCAGAAAGGAAAGCCAATCTGCTGTTTTGACTGTATACCATGTGCTGAAGGAGAGATCAGTAATATGACAGGTACACGTCTAAGAAAGAAAAAACAAATATAACAAACTGTTTGTATTAAATTAGTCATTAAAAAATCTACAAACGTGGTCTAAATGGTGTAAAATCCAAAGAGAGAAGTTTTAAGAGGGAAGTAGAGATATGTTTTTCACATATCAGTATCAGTGTTGTTTCATTAAAGGATGAAACTGTATCTTCATATTTTTCCTGTAGATCTAATTTGTCTTTTTCGGTTTTCTTTCACTCTCTGACAGATTCAATTAAATGTGAACAATGCAATCAAGATTACTGGTCAAATCCATACAGGGACAAATGTGTAAAAAAGGAAATTGAATTCTTGTCCTATGAGGAACCTATGGGAATTTTGTTGACTGCTGTTTCTAATTTTGGTGCATTCTTAACAATAACAATAGCAATTATATTCTTTAGATATAAAAATACCCCAATAGTCAAAGCAAATAACTCAGAGCTGAGCTTCCTGCTGCTCTTCTCATTGGCTCTGTGTTTTCTCTGTTCACTTACTTTCATCGGTCAGGCCTCTGAGTGGTCCTGTATGCTGCGTCACACAGCGTTTGGGATCACCTTCGTCCTCTGCATCTCCTGTGTTCTGGGGAAAACAATAGTGGTGTTAATGGCCTTCAGAGCTACACTTCCAGGCAGTAATGCTATGAAATGGTTTGGGCCTCCACAGCAGAGGCTCAGTGTTGTTGCTTTCACTCTCATACAAGTCCTTATCTGTGTTATTTGGTTAACAACATCTCCTCCTTTTCCCTTAAAAAATCTGAAGCTTTACAAGGAAAAGATCATTCTAGAATGTCAGTTAGGTTCAGCAGTAGGTTTCTGGGCTGTGCTGGGTTATATAGGGCTCTTGGCTGTTCTATGTTTTGTTTTGGCTTTTCTAGCACGGAAGCTGCCTGATAATTTTAATGAGGCCAAGTTCATCACATTCAGCATGCTCATATTCTGTGCAGTTTGGATCACTTTTATCCCAGCTTATGTCAGCTCTCCTGGAAAGTTCACTGTGGCTGTGGAGATATTTGCTATTCTGGCCTCAAGCTTTGGTTTGTTATTCTGTATCTTTCTTCCAAAGTGTTATATAATCATACTGAAACCAGAAAAGAACACCAAAAAACAAATTATGGGAAAAGTACCAGTTAAGTGAGCTAGTCGTTTACTTAGTTCTAATTACAGCCTTATTTTGGTTCAGAATACACTTTAGTATGTATCATCTTAAATGTTCACACCAAACAGAAAATGTTTCATTTTTGGCCTCATATTTTATGCTGTAGACATCATCCCACTGTTATGTAGCTATTGAAACTAGGGAAATAAATTGACGAAGTGTCATAAAAACTGAATCAGTCAAATTCTGAATTTCTTTCGAGTGAAGTCACTGTCAACAACTGTAATCATAAACAGATCACATTTACATCACTTATCAAGACAAGTGGTCTTTATTGTCATTTCTCAGTATTACTTTGGAACAAAATGTCGTTCTTGAGACCCCCAGTGCAACACAAAACATCAGCATATTACTCTGGACTACATAAAGTGCAGAAACATGACAATGTGGAATATGCGTAGAACATTCAATAAATACATAAGACAAAAAATACACAGGACATTAAATACACAAGACTCTAACTAAACAAAACAAAACAACAAAATATACGAAGGGGCATCATATGGAAGAATGGGCGTATATGAGTGAAGGAACTAGTGCAAACAGTGTCAGCGTTGAAGTATTCAGAAAGTTTGGGGTAAAAAAGTCACAAAGCAGAATTTAAAGAATTTATATCTTTAACAAAATGAAAATCAATTTAATAATTACCTACACTCGTTAAAACACATACAACTATTTAAATAAATGACTGGTTAACAAATTGAAATACTAACTTTGTTTTGAAGTATTCTAAGGTTTTGTATTTTTTAGCTTTCACGTATATTTTTAAAGTCCCTTTTACTTTTACACAGTAACTGGCCACCTTACATTGTTGGTATATTTTGTACAAATTGTTTTTACTACCCACTAGTTTCCGACCAGAAGACAATTGCTGGTTTGATAATAAAGACTGGAAAACTATTCTCAATCCAACGGTCGCACTGAGATACGTAAAAATCCCAAGCGACACTACGGCACCTAATACACATGCATCAGCACAATACCCACTAACATGGGACTATAATGTGGTGTTACTATGCTGAGAAAGTCCTATCCTAAAACAATATCTGGTCAGTGGTGGTACTATGATGGTCCCTTTTTATGAACATGCAGGGTACAGGGTGACTGACAAACTGTGCATAGAAAAAAAAGTTTAGACTTATTTGACTGAATGTTTGTTTTGCATAATTTTAAAGACATGTAAAAGGTTTATCTTAAATGCTTTAAATGTGTTTTAAGATGAATATAACGATAAAGCTGATATTGATGCTTATTTATGAATTCATTTTAAATAAAATGAAACCATTTAAAACAGTAGTTTTAAACAGTTGAGGATCAAGAGTAAAGCACTAACTAACTCAGGTAGTGATTTTTTTTTGGCTGGATCCAGTTCTAGCCATAAGAGACAAAGACTATGGCAGCAATGACATAGTCATATTTATGAAAGCAGCAGGAGAGTGGAGCAGGAGAAGAGATTCATTTAGCATATAATAAGGCTCCTGAATTGCAACAAAAATGAAGAATAGAAGGTGATCTGAAAGGTACAGCAGGATAGGTAATCGAGAGCGGGCAGCTAACACAATCGCTATCATTCATTACCGCCAACAAGCCAGTGGTTTGATGTTGTAATTATTTCTTGTTCAGTGTTTAGGCCTCCTAATGATTCGTGATTCTTTGTATGAGAGGCTTAGCTAACAGGACTGGAGTGTTAGTGTTTCTGCTGACAGGAGAGTGTTTTCAGAAAGAGACACAGCTTTTTTTCTCACTGCATGAATGATGAAACTGATTACATGCTATATTGTTATGTGATAGCATTGGTAAGTTGCCACACTTTATGATTATAGCTGAATGTACTTATTAGCCAGTGTTGTTTTATTGTGAACATGACAGATTTTTTTAACTATACGTTTTTTTTGTTTTTTAAGGATCTCTGCTTACAATAACGAATCATCACTGAAGAATGAAATCTGCCGCAAAGAAAAAAGCACATACAAAAAGCACTGTATGTTCTAGAAATCATAGAACAGAAAGACAGTAAAGCACATTTGGTAGCTACTGTTTTAGAAATGCAGGTGCCAGAATGGGTTCCTTGGACTAATCTCATAGACAAACCACTTTTGGTTCCCTAAATCCATTTCAAACTGTGGCCACAACCCACTTCTGGATCATAGAGGGGGACAAGAGGGTCACGAGGAACCATATGAAAGGAGTCACATGACTAAATAATTTTTACTTACTGATAGTTGTCATTATGATAAAAAAAAAAATTCCCCTTGGTGGTGGTATTGTGTATCGTGTATGGTAAGTCACCCAAACATTATTTCATTATATATGTAATATTGCAGCATCTTCATGTTTCGTCTCTATCATTATATGATAATTGTGCTTGTTTACTCAATAAAGACTCACAGAGGACTTGTATCACCTGTACACCTATTCATTCATGCAGTTCTCTAATCAACTATTAATGTGGTAGCTGTGAAATATAAAATATTATACAGATACAGGCCAGAATAACTTGGGATAAAAAATGTGTTACTTGAGCCAAACTCTATAACCCATTTGTGATTTTTGTTAGATTTTACTGCTGATTTTGAACATGTATATTTTTTTTATTTTAATGTGATGATCAGTTTCAAGTTTATAGGTTTCTCTCTAGTCAAAGAGACAGGAGCCTGGGGCCTTATTACAGACAATGTTTAACTCTGAAATCTTATCTTCTCTGTTAAATCACAATGACAACTTCAGTTAGAACTGAATTTAGGACAGAAGCTATTACAGAACAACAGTTCTTATGTTGATCTTATTCTAACTCCAAATGAGAACAGTAATTACAGAAGAAACAGTATTACAGAAGCATCCTCACTAGACAAAATTTCCTAAACACTGACCTTACTAAGACAACCCCAGAGGTGTCTTAACTTATGTTTTCATCATCTGTTCCTTTTGTTTTATACAGTGACAGACAGTACAGCTCACTTGAAATAGTTGCCCTTCTTAATAATGCCTCTGGGGCACTCAGATAGCAAACTCTGCTAGCTTGCAATTCTGAACAACATAAAATCTTAGTTCAGCAAGGTAGCATTACGAAATACTGTAAGTGACAATTTTAAATAATATACTGGTCATCTTTTAAACAAACTTTCTGGAGCTCTCAAACAATCTTGAATAGACACAGGATCATTGTACAGAACAGAATACAACACCAGCAAAGCAGGTTACTGCTGCAGGGTCAGCAGTGGATGCTAGTGGTGCCTCATGGGAGCAGCAAGAGAAAAAGTGATTTGACTGGTACCTACTGGAGTAGTCAATAGCACAGCCAGAGAAAGACCAGAATGCAGACCAGCCCATTTTAAACGTTAACTGCATGTCTTCTGCCACGCACACACCATAAATGCAAAAAAGTGGAGGAAAGGCAGACATCAAATCAAACAGCTAAATTGGCAGACTGTGTTAGGGGTTAAATTAGTTTAGCTAACCGCTTTTTCTAAGATCTGAGCATTTTCATCTTTCATCTCATTTCCTATTCTTATTTATTCACTATAATGAAATAACCAAGCCAACCTGCAACTGATAAAATAACTGGATTAAATGTGACAGTCATTATTGTTAATACAAAATAATGCTAACTAACTAAGCTTCTCACATAATTTCATTGCCTACATGGACATATTTAATATTTTGAATTCAGTGCATCACCCTGCACCATGCTGTACATCTTCATAGGATGATGTATGGAAACTGCTACATTGGTAAGCAATGTATGACTTCTTTCTTAAGTAGTTTTTGAATGACGCAAAATGCTGATATGTGTAAATTATCATTATTTGTAGATGATCAGCTCCCATTTAGCTTTCATGTGAAATGAAAGCAAAAAGTATTACAATCCCCAGACAAACTAGACAAACCCACTGCATGAGACTTATTAGCTGACGAGTCAGAATCGGCAAACCTGAACTGCACCACTTGAGGAGGAGGCTGCTGATTTAAGCCATAAATTACCACAAATATCCCCCAACTACCCACGTTGGCTCTGGTCAAGGGAAAATTCCAGTAAAACATCAAGAACCTGAAAATCGCTTACACAATCCTTATTACAAAACTTATTTCCTTTACACAGACTTCTGGCGTCCTTAGATGGCAAAAACTTCTGTAACGACAGACAGTTTACAACACTGGGTACTGGTTGTTCTTCTTATGCTGGTTAACCATTTTGCTCATGCATATTTTCTGGATTTTCCACCTGAACATACCCAAATCTTAAGGCTCATTATTCAGTAATTGCATGGAATAAAAGTAAAGTACTTGTAATTTTAATAAAGACAACTCAAATTAACAGAAAGTGTGTTTTATGATCTTTAAAACAATGCCATAAACTTAAAATTCACTGCTGAAAGCCAAAAATAACCAACCTCACAATAAATGTTATAGTATCACAGACATCATACGCATTGCTGGAAAATCTGCATATTCCAATAAAAACACACATATATCAATCACACAATTCAGCACTATGACAATCGGATGCTAAAAAGAAATTCAATTCAAGAGTCCTCAAGGCACCTGTAGCTTATACTGCTTGAGTAAGCATGCAAAGATATGAACAGTAAAGTGTAATAATATTCATTATAGCAATAATAACATTTGCGGGCAAGAAAAAAGTGTATTGCAGAATGTACATACTGATTAAAAAGATGCTCCCTCTCGCTCCTCTCATTCCTCTTTGAATGTTTCACAAACTTTTCTACTTCATTTCATTAGTGAGTCTTTCAGTTTTGGCTAAAAACCTTTTAACCTTTTTCTTTCTCCATGCCATTGCTAAAACTAAACTGAAAAGGCACATTTGATACTGCTTTCTAAGGCATTTCTAGCGTGTTATGTGTGCGCCCTCAGTGGGCTCAGAGCACTATGCACTTTTGTTTGCATTCTCTGCTTCCATTATGCAGATGATTTCTTAGCGTTTAAGCGGACAATGTCATATGAAGGTTAAAGCCCTGTCCTTCAAAGCCATTTAAGCCAGTGATCAAACACCTTTCTCCATCTTCATCCATTTGTTCCATCCACAGGTTTGAGTTTAGGGGCATTCGCTTTGCTGCAAGAGTTTTTCTGTGAATCATATAATGTGTTCACAAGGCAAGCAGAGCAATGGCCTTTACTTTTGTAACAGACCACTCTGTTTCCCAGTCATAGCTCATGCAGCTTGTGAGGAAATTCCCACACACTTGTTCCAGTCAATTTCATTGTCATGTAAGCACATCTGGGCCCACACTGATCCACACAAGGCTTAGCAAGGTTGAGGAAGAATCGCAAATGGTCTTCTACTCTGAGATGAGTTCTTTATTTGTTTTTTTCAGATAACTAAGTGCAGAAAATCCTGATTCACACAGAAATGTCGATGCGAAGTGAATAAGTTTCAGTACTTTCTGGTTGACATAGGTGGCTTTTTGGAAGGTAGACTGCTGGGTTCTTAGGCTTTGTTCACACAGCAGGTAAAAGTGGCCCAAATCTAGTCTTTTTCTTCATATGTGACTCTGTGAGATGTGGCAGTGTGAACAGCAAAAAACACACTGAATCTGACATTTGCAAGTCCGATTTTAGACGCTTTCATATGTGGAATGGAAATCCCATACGTATCCGATTCGCGTCAATGCGACTCAGTCCGAACAGCCAGATCAGAATTCATGCGACTTTTACATCAATCCAACTCAACATTCGTCATAATTTCACGCTGCCGAGACTTCATAAACATTGACAAAAAACAACAAAAAAAATGTTAAAGAATCCGAGGACACGAACCAAAGAAGTGGTTGTCGCCAAATAACGAGCACTCTTTACGGCGAGCTCGAACACATTCTGGGTGATGAGCCCAGCTGTCAAAAACTGAAACTTCATGATTGCTCCTGTCATGCAGGTGAAGATGAAACTGAAAGCTCTGGAAGCGACTGGCATTCATTGATGATGATGGTTGTTTACCTCTGGATGCACGCCACATGAAACAACGTGAAGGGTTGTTCTTTTGAGCATGCAGGTCAGTTTAGGGGCTGATCTGTTCATAGTGATGTCACATATAGATCACATTTAAAAGATAATGTGAACAGCCAAACAAAAAAATCTAATTTGGTGAGAAAATCAGATTTGGGCCACTTTTACCTGCTGCGTGAACATAGCCTTAGTTCCTTAGCTAGCACTATGCCATAAACCACATATTGTGGCTGTGTATCCTCCACACTGCTTTTCTGTGTAAACCAATACACTAAGTACTTTTCATCATTTTTTCCCGTTCAGGTTTTTTCTCAGTGCGTTTCTGGATGTCATGTTTTGCTCTCATGGTTTCAGCGCTACCTGTTAGAAAGCGCTCCACTGCTATGCAAATATTTAGCCTTGCGACAAAAAAGTTCTCAAGTTTCATGGTCAATCAAGACCCTCCCTCAGTAATGAGCGCATGCAAAAGAAATTCATAATCGGCATTAGTCCATCTTTCGTAGCATAATGGTCAAGCCATTTATCAGAGCTGGTATTCGCTCGTCAAAATTATTTTCTCCATTTTTGATGAAGCGTATGTCTTTGCAGCACCATTTTTGTGACCCCTCTGGGACCACGCCAAGTTAAGAACCCCTGCACTATTTGAATAATATGGTGGATTCATTATTATAGACTGTAAACAGACAAATTCACAAAGTAAGTGTTTTTGCTGTGTTCACACTTAATAGCAAGTCTTTTTCATGGTTGGAGTTGGTGTGAGTGGCTTGGATTTATTCAGTGCTGGCATTGGTTGCATTAATTCAGAGCAGGCACTGGTCATATTCATTCAGTGTGTTCATTAACTGGATTCATTCGGGGGGAATTGATTGAACTCATTCAGAGAGGGCATTGGCAGGATTCCTTTAGAGCAGGGACTGGTTGAATTCTTCAGAGTAAGCACTGGTTATATCCATTCAGTTTGACTGATACACTAAAATATCTCCTGTTCTAGGCGGTCCTAATTCCATGCTGTCCCTTAAAAGCTGGCCTAATGGGCCAATGGCTGACTCACTATTGACAGATCAAGAATGTATTCACTCAGTTAGCTGAACGTGTTAAAATTCACCTGAACTCCTGGATATTTTGTGGAGAAAAGAGCTCATGAACTGCATGAATGAATCATCCATGTACATAACTTCCCCTCTAGGCCTTAATTTCCTCAATCACTGTTACACTAATTTCATGCTGAAAGATTTCTGGGGCCCTTGTGATCCCAAATGGAAGACTGACAAAGTGTAAAGACTAAGCTCAGCTAAATGGGATATCCTCGCTTAGTATGTCATACATTTAAAGGGAAATAGAAAGCCTTTTCTTGCTAGCCTATGTGGACTTTAAACAAACACCAGGACTACAAAATTGTGAAATCTGGCCCCTTTTTCTTGTTTGTGCTTCATTTTGCCACACCTTTCCCTCTTTTTGTTCTTCATGCTTCCCACTCTGTATGTTTTTATGGCTTCTATTCTGAGATCCTTCTGGTTCATTTACCTCTTTCCCATTTCTCATATTGACATGCAGCTTCATGGCTGTTTTAAAATGATTCAAGTCAGCCCATTAATGTGGACGGTCAAACTTATCAACTTGTATTAGTGAAGATACAAGGTTTTTTTCAGATGGCAACAATGTGAACGATAGTTCATTAAATGGCAGTTAAGTATGACTGTATTAATTCTTTTGTGATGATATATCACTGTGTAAGAACACAAAAAGCCACAGTGTTACTGCCATACTAACCATACTGTTTTTAAAAATAAAAAATAAAAAACACCAAAAAGAACAAATCAATCATTATGCAACCCATATAAGGCACTGAGGGCCCTTTTTAGAAGTCACACCTCCTTTGATTGCAACCCAGTAGCGTAACCCTACCACAGAGGACTTGCCTTACATTTGTATAAATATCACAAATCATTCATGTCCAACCAGGTTAAGCATCAGACCTGGTGCACACACTCAATCATTATCTCTACTCAACAGTTGGACAGGTGAATGGAGTACTTTTTTACTCTTTTGCATGTGGTAATGACCATCATCAATTTTTCTGGTGCTAATGAAATTTGTAGCCTCCAAGGAGAGTCTGCATATCCAGTTCTTTCAAAGGATGGTGATATCATAGTTGGAGGGATTTTCCCCTTCCATAGCACTTGGGAGGTCCCAGACTTGTCCTATTTGGTCAAGCCACATCCATTCAAATGCAGGAGGTAAGCAGCAGGAAAAATGAGCATTTTACACAATGACTGAAAATGTACTATATGAGTGTAGCATTACATGAGCCACACATATTAGCGATGATTTCATCCTAAAATAATGTCTTTGTATTTATCTCTAAATGTTTACTGTGCAGTCTTGATTTCAGAGCCTTCCAGTATTCACAGTCCTTGATTTTCGCAATAGAAGAGATCAACAACAGCTCCTCTTTACTGCCAGGTGTCTTACTGGGCTACAAGATCTATGACACCTGCAGTTCAATAGCAATAGGGGTTAGAATGGCTATGGCACTTGTTAATGGAAATGAGGAGACAGTCTTGGATGAGCCCTGCACAAAGCCAGCCCAGGTGCAAGCCATAATTGGCGAGACATACTCATCAGTGTCAATGGCTATAGCAAATAGTATCGGGCCTTTCAGTATTCCAGTTGTAAGAATTACATTTTTTCATCATTGTATTCAGTCATAACTTTAACATTACATGGTGTTATCTTGACTAACAAAATATCATGACTGAACATAATGGCTGAAACACCTGTATGAATCTGTTTTTAGATCAGTCACTATGCCACCTGTGAGTGTCTTAGTGATAAAAGGAAATATCCTTCATTTCTGCGCACTATCCCAAGTGATTATCATCAGAGCAGAGCACTGGCAGAGATGGTCAAGCACTTTGGTTGGACCTGGGTGGGGACAATAAGAAGAGATGATGACTATGGTAACAATGGGATGGCTGCATTTGTTGAAGCTGCAGAACAGCTGGGCATTTGTTTAGAATATTCCCTTCCATTTTTTAGAACTTACTCACAAGAAAAAGTGCTGAGGATTATTGAGCAGATCAAAAGCTCTACTTCTCGAGTGATTGTGGGATTTCTCGATAACTGGGACTTGGAGAATTTGCTGAATGTGTTTTTTGAACACAACGTCACTGGATATCAGTGGGTGGGAACTGAGGCCTGGATCTTTGATTCAGAACTGGCTACAATGGATAAATACAACATACTGCAAGGAGCCATAGGGCTGGCTATCCCCAAAACAACAGTGACAGGTCTGAAGGACTTTATTCTGGATATACATCCACTGAAATCTGCAGGCAGTGCTATTTTTACTGAATTCTGGGAGGCTCTGTTTCAGTGCAAATATACAGTGCAGAATGAATCAGAGGACTTATCAGCATGCACAGGTGAAGAGAAACTGTCTGATGTGGAAAACACATTCACTGACATGACGCTGATGCCCATTTTCAGTAATGTGTATAAAGCAGTATATGCTGTTGCCCATACCCTACATAAACTTCTTGGCTGCACACAAACATGTCCTGCAAAAAAGCAGCCTGATCCTTTCACAGTAAGTTAACATTCTGATTAAGCACTGATTTTCAACTTAGGCCACAAGTCTTTGGTACACAGTTTGACACTAATAAAAATAACAAAGATGCTGTACCTTTGCAGGGAACATGATGGTCTTCATAACATGTTTTAAATAACAAGAAGCAAAAACTGTTCTATTTAGGTTATATTGCTATTTGAATTTATCTTTTAGTTTCTAGAACACCTAAAAAGGATGCATTTCAAAACCAAAGAAGGTGAAGAAGTTTATTTTGATAAAAATGGTGACCCTGCTGCAAAATATGAAATAATAAACTGGCAAACAAGTGAAGAAAACCAACATGAATTTGTCACTGTTGGACACTATGACTCTTCTCATCCTTCTTATGATCGCTTAGCGGTAAACACTGCCTCTATTGTTTGGGCAGGAAACAGCAACCAGGTACTTTGTCTCTACAAAAGGATTACTTACACATGAGCTATTTCTTGCAATATGTATTTGAAGTCACCACTTAAATTAACAATGGCTAACTATTTTTTGAGCTGTTGCATATTTTTTTTGATCACAGGTGCTGGTGTCTGTGTGCAGTGAGAGCTGCCCTCCTGGCACCAGGAAGGCTGTGCAGAAAGGAAAACCTATCTGCTGTTTTGACTGTATACCATGTGCTGAAGGAGAGATCAGTAATATATCAGGTACAAAAACTCCAAATATAAAATCCTGTTTGTAATGCCGCTGAAAATACCTTTATATATTTTGGGATAATTTACAGTTTTTCCACCTCTTTTAATGGATAAGTAGAGATTTTTAAACAGCAGTTCTGTTAAATTGCTAAATCTGTACTCTATATTGTTGATCATTTTTCCTATGTATGTAACTTTTCTTGTTGTTTAATTTCTCTCTCACTGCCTGACAGATTCAATTAAGTGTGAACAATGCAATCAAGACTACTGGTCAAATCCACACAGGGATGAATGTATAAAGAAGAAAATTGAATATTTGTCCTATGATGAAACTATGGGAATTTTGCTAACAGCTGTTTCTATTACTGGTGCATTTGTGACTATGGTAATAGCACTTATATTCTTTAGATATAAAAATACTCCAATAGTCAAAGCAAACAACTCAGAGCTGAGCTTCCTTCTACTCTTTTCGCTGACACTGTGTTTCCTCTGTTCACTTACTTTCATTGGTCAGCCCTCTATATGGTCCTGTATGCTGCGCCACACAGCGTTTGGGATCACCTTCGTCCTCTGCATCTCCTGTGTTCTGGGGAAAACAATAGTGGTGTTAATGGCCTTTAGGGCTACAATTCCAGGCAGTAATGTCATGAAATGGTTTGGGCCTCCACAGCAGAGACTCAGTGTTCTTGCTTTCACTCTCATACAGGTCCTTATTTGTGTTCTTTGGTTAATAATATCCCCCCCTTTTCCCTTTAAAAATTTAAATAACTATAACGACAAAATTATTCTAGAATGTAATTTAGGCTCAGCTATAGGTTTCTGGGCTGTGCTGGGTTATATAGGATTTTTGGCTCTTCTGTGTTTTGTTTTGGCTTTTCTAGCACGGAAGCTGCCTGATAACTTTAATGAAGCCAAGTTCATCACATTCAGCATGCTCATATTCTGTGCAGTCTGGATCACCTTCATCCCAGCTTATGTCAGCTCTCCTGGAAAGTTCACTGTAGCTGTGGAGATATTTGCCATTTTGGCCTCAAGCTTTGCTTTGTTATTCTGTATCTTCCTTCCAAAGTGTTATATAATCATACTGAAACCAGAAAAGAACACTAAAAAACAAATTATGGGTAAAGTGCCAGTTAAGTGAGCTGAAAAGAAGTGAGCCACACATTGACTAGCAATAGTCAACATTTTAGAATATATTATCTTTAGGTTAAAAAGAATCTGGAGATACTGGCTTTTTTAGCCTTTGGTTTGACATTCTGCTGCTTTCTTCCAAAACTGCCATGCTATTTTACTGAAACCATGAATAACTTACCAACAGAAAAGCAAAATTAATGTGAAACTCTGTAATTCACTAAAGTTGTTTTGGTAATTTTGTTGTTGTTGTTGTAACCAAGAAAAATATCATTTTAGAAAGTTAATCAACTTTGGGTTAGTTTAAATGTTCTAGTTATTTTAAATGTATACCGTTGAATGGGAAGATAAGAGCACGAAGTGTGTTAGGGATTGTAGTTTTACAACTGACACTCAGTCGGATGTCTTTGTTTCTTACAACTGTCTTGAGGTTAAAGAAATACAATTTAAATTACAGTCTTCTCCTGAATAACAAAAACATGGAATTACTGCTAAAAAAAGAAGCAGAATAATTTTTAATACTAGATTTTGTTTGATGTATGTGTTAACTCTTTAAATATCCACTCTTTAAAAATATGGTTCTTCAAAGGGTTTTTTGAAGAACGCTTTTTGGTGCAATGCAGAACCATTCTCAAAAGGAGCTCAAAAACGTATACATTCCCCACCAAAATGAAGAACCTATTAAACCATTTTTTTTAGTAATAGCTTAAGATGGTAACAAACCACATGAAATAAATTAGGTGTGCCTAGTCACAGTGTCTGTAATATGTTAAGAACTCTTTCTTAACTTAAACATCTGCGTTTTAGTTACTTAATTTTAGCTGCAAGAACACACTTTGCACCAATAACCACACATTCTGGAATCCGTTCTAAACCTTGTACCTTGTAAATGCTGGCTCCCCAGTGATAGAGACACAGCTAATATTTCAATACTTATATTTCTAACCCTAACTGAAACAACAGTAGTACCACCAGAATATGAATATCTATGTGTGGCATAGTAAAATTATACTGCATGTTAAAGTTGAGCTGTGTATGTTTTTCACTATATGTAAGGAGCACAATGCTGATTTGGGCTGCCGTCATCCATGGTTGAACACAGTGAAAGTTTCTGAATTCAGATTTGATTTTTAGCTTGAATTAGCCAGACAGTCCTGCTGGCATCTGTTTGATTACACACTGCTCCTGCTGCATCAACCAAATGGTTACTAGTCTTTAATAGACAGTAAGCAAAGCTGAAAAAACTGAATGTCATCTACACAATGTGATATATTTGTGCTGACACTTTTTACCATCATCTTATTACAGATAACCCACATAACACAATATAAACCAGTAAAACAGTAGGTGCGCTTAGATGTACTCCATATTACAAAAGACAAACATATGAATGACTTAACTACTTGATTTGTCTTTAGCTCCCTGATTTGATTTTGGACATAATGCAGGCCTCTGTAATTAGATATGCTCTTATGAAACGGTGTCTCATAAGATACCCCATTGTTCAGCCTATTAAATGCAATAATGGTATTCCTCCACCAGAGGGCAGTAAGCTGCTACTTCTATGATAGTCACACTAAGAATAACTTCATTATCACTTGAATATGGCTTGCTGTACTACTGCATAACCAGTCATGTTAAACCCTTAAAAGAAACTGAGAAAGATATTCTCCCTATGATGTTACAATCCATCAAATGGTTATGTTCTCTGCAGAGGCCCTGAGAAAGTTATGTTTGAACTAATTTTCTTTTGTTTAAACATTTCTCAGAGGCCCACAAGGTCTAGAAACAAAAAGCAGTAAGCACATGATATTAATACATTATGAGCATTCTGACAGGCCAACATTCTGAGAGATTAAATCATCTTAATGTTCCCTTGTTTATGTCCACTGAAACATTACAAGGTCTTATATAAAAACACTCACTGGTGCTGTTACTAAATATCAACACCACCACTCAGTTCCAAGAGTGGCAATATTCTAAAAATCATCCTTCTCTAAGACGTGGCCTGCTTTCAGAGGAACACCTCACTACAAAAAATGAAGGCATGTGTGTGTCCACTACAAAATGCCAATTAGTTTCTACTGTCTTTCAGTATTTCAGGATAAGCAATAATGACTTAAAAGGTCATAAGTTTGACCTCTATTTCAGGCAAACATGCACAGTCATATTCCAAAACTACAGTGGTATATGTAATTACTGTCATACAGTAAAATTAAAAATGATGTCCAAAGTACACACTTAATACGATGGTTCCTTAAGGGTTTCTTAGTAAAGAAAAAACTTCTATATAGAACCATGAAAAAGGGTTAAAGGGTTCTTTGAATCATGAAAGCGTTCTTCAGATTGATGGAGAATGTGCTGTGGATGGTTCTATATAGAACCCTTTTGAAAAGGGTTCTATATAGCTTCAAAAAGGGTTCTGCTATTGTTACAGGCTTGACATCACAACAATATCAGAACCCTCTTTGATGCTATATAGATCCCTTTTCAAAAAGGTCCTATATAGAAACATCTACAGCAGCACATTCTTGATCAATCTGAAGAACCCTTTCATGGCACAAAGAACCCTTTAACAATAAATAAAGAAGCATTTAATAATAAATATAGAACCATTTTCTTTACTAGAGAACTCTTGAAGAACCATCTTGTTTAAGGGCGTAGTAAAGAAAACCAACCAAAAGCCACATGAGCCATAGGGGCCTGCTTTTTTTTCAGATTAGTGCTATCACAGTGGAAGGTCACACCTCCTTTGACCAGATTTCCTCAGTGTAACCTTACCTTAGAGTATTTGTATTTGAAGCCATATAAATATCTCAAATTCTTCCTGTTTGGCTGCCTGAAACATCAGATCTAGCAAACATTCTCTTAACCACTGTACCAACTGGGAAAGTGGATAGGTGGATGGAGCCTGTCTTTGCACTCCTACATATGGTAATGGCCATCCTTACTTTTTCCAGAGCTAACGAGACTGCTTGTAGCCTGCAAGGAGAGCCTGTATACCCACAACTATCAAAGGATGGTGATATTATAGTTGGAGGGATTTTTCCCTTTCACAGCAGTTGGGAGATCAGAGACTTGTCCTATGTGGCAATGCCACCGCCATTAAAGTGCATGAGGTAAGCAGAATAAGAAAGTGTAAACCTCTGGCATTTTATCAGCATTGACACATGCATTACATTCTGTGGCAGGATGTTTTGGATGATACTGGATGATAAAATATTATGTCTCTGTGTTTCTCTCTGCATTTCTCTAATCAGTCTTGATTTCAGAGCCTTCCAGTATTCTCAGTCCTTGATCTTTGCAATAGAGGAGATCAACAACAGTTCTTCTTTACTGCCAGGTGTTACATTGGGCTACAAGATATATGACACCTGCAGTTCAATGGCAAGGGGGGTTAAAGTGGCCATGGCACTTATTAATGGAAATGACAATATGGCCCAAGATGAGGTCTGCACAAAACCAGATCAGGTACAAGCCATAATAGGTGACACAGCCTCATCACCGTGTATGGCTATCGCCAAGAGTATCGGACCTTTCAGCTTTCCCATTGTAAGTATCTGCTATTTGCTTTCAAAGGTTCTGTCTCCTGAAATGTCATTTCTAAAGATAGAAGAAATATGCAGCTGGAAATCGTTACATAACTTGTAAAGTATGTTTCAATGAATAAAGCAAGTGAATAAAACATTAATATTTTGAGTTAAAATGTACATTTTATACATTTTAATGGGCTCTGATAACAGTTATTTTTAAGATCTCACCATGTTTGATACAACTCTGTGAATCTGTTTTTAGATCAGTCACTATGCCACATGTGAGTGTCTCAGTGACAAAAAGAAATACCCATCATTTCTGCGCACTATTCCCAGTGATTACCACCAGAGCAGAGCATTGGCAGAGATGGTCAAGCACTTTGGCTGGACCTGGGTGGGAGCATTAAGAACGGATGATGATTATGGTAACAGTGGTATGGCCACTTTCACAAAAGTTGCAGAGCAGCTGGGTGTTTGCTTAGAATATTCCCTTCCATTTTTTAGAACTTATTCACAAGAAAAAATGCTGAGAATAGTTGAGCAGATCAAAAGCTCTACTTCTCGAGTGATTGTGGCATTTCTCGCTCACTGGGACTTGGAGATTTTGCTGGATGTATTTCATGAGCACAACATCACTGGATATCAGTGGGTGGGAACTGAAGGTTGGATCTCTGATTCAGCTGTAGCCGCACTGGATAAGCACAAAATACTGCAAGGAGCCATAGGGCTAGCTATCCCCAAAACAAAGGTGACAGGTTTAAAGGACTTCATTTTAGATATAAATCCCCTGAAATCTGCAGGAAGTGAAATTTTTACTAAATTCTGGGAAGCTCTGTTTAAGTGTAAATACACTGTCCAGAATAATTCAGGGGACTCACCAGTGTGTACAGGAAAAGAGAAACTCTCTGATGTGGAAAACACATTTACAGACATGTCACTGCTCCCCATTTTCAGTAATGTGTATAAAGGAGTATTTGCTGTTGCCCATACTCTACACAACCTTCTCGGCTGTACGCAAAGGTGTCCTACAAAGAAGCAGCCTGATCCTCTCAATGTGAGTTAAAACTGTGTTTTTGTCCTTAGGCCCCAGCTTTGTCACGTCCATAACACTAATTTATATTATGATGCTCTATTTTGTCAGTTTCTAGAACACCTCAAAATGGTGCATTTCAAAACCAAAGATGGTGAAGAAGTGTATTTTGATAAAAATGGTGACCCTGCTGCAAAATATGAGATAATAAACTGGCAGGCAAGTAAAGAACACCAACATGAATTTGTCACTGTTGGACTTTATGACTCCTCTTTTCCACCTCAATATCGATTAGCAGTAAACATGACCTTAATTATGTGGGCAAAAAATAGTAACCAGGTGAGTATAAGGATGAAAACTGTGTCTTACTCTCAAAAGTAAAAACAGCAGTTAACACTGTTAGTTAAATAGTTTTTTTGGGTAAATTACTATATATTTTGTTCATCACAGGTGCCGGTGTCTGTGTGCAGTGACAGCTGCCCTCCTGGCACCAGGAAGGCTGTGCAGAAAGGAAAGCCTATCTGCTGCTTTGACTGTATACCATGCGCAGAAGGGGAGATCAGCAATGTAACAGGTAAAAAAAGAAGGGGCAACAGACCCAAGATACGGTCACTGCTAGCACTAAACATGCCTCCATTTCTTTTCAGACTTTATTATTTTGTCACACATATTACCTGCTTTGCCAAGTTCTGCGATAACTCGGCCTTAGCAGTAAAGAGCCTGCTTGTTTTTTTATGATTGATTACTTATTCAGACTTTTTTTTTTCGTACGTAATTTTACTGTTTTTTCTCACTTATTACAGATTCTGTTACATGTGAGCAATGCTATCAGGACTACTGGTCAAATCAACACAGAGATGCATGTGTAAAGAAAGAAACTGAATATCTGTCCTATGATGAAATAATGGGAATTTTACTAACAACTATTTCCATATTTGGTGCATTAATGACAATAATAATAGCAGTAGTATTCTTTAGATATAAAAATACCCCCATAGTGAAAGCAAACAACTCAGAACTGAGCTTCCTGCTGCTCTTCTCTCTGGCTCTGTGTTTCCTCTGTTCACTTACTTTCATTGGTCGGCCCTCTGAGTGGTCCTGTATGCTGCGCCACACAGCGTTTGGGATCACCTTCGTCCTCTGCATCTCCTGTGTTCTGGGGAAAACAATAGTGGTGTTAATGGCCTTCAGAGCTACACTTCCAGGCAGTAATGCTATGAAATGGTTTGGTCCTCCACAGCAGAGACTCAGTGTTCTCACCTTCACTCTCATACAGGTCCTTATTTGTGTTCTTTGGTTAACAACATCCCCTCCTTTTCCCTTTAAAAATCTAAAGCACTACAAGGAAAAGATCATTCTAGAATGCCATTTGGGATCAACAATAGGTTTCTGGGCTGTGCTGGGTTATATAGGATTTCTGGCTCTTTTGTGTTTTATTTTGGCTTTTCTAGCACGGAAGCTGCCTGATAACTTCAATGAAGCCAAGTTCATCACATTCAGCATGATCATATTCTGTGCTGTTTGGATCACCTTTATCCCTGCTTATGTCAGCTCTCCTGGAAAGTTCACTGTAGCTGTGGAGATATTTGCCATTTTGGCCTCAAGCTTTGCTTTGCTGTTCTGCATCTTTCTACCAAAATGTTATGTAATTCTACTGAAACCAGAGAAGAATTCTAAAAGGCATATGATGGGGAAGGTTACTTCAAATTCTTCCTAAAATTGTTGTCAATTTTTGTATTTACCTGTATGAATAACATTTAAACATTTGGCAATTTACGTCATCATTAAAGTGTTCGGCATATGAGAGTGTGCAGTCTTTTTCCTACCTACCCAAAGTGCCATAACCCAATTTCATGAAACACCTACTGAGTAGAACAACTACTGTTCTGACTTTGAATATAACAGTGATAAGCATTTTGAAATCAAGTTTAAACAGCTTAACAATATCTTCATTTTTAAGAATGATAATGAATTGTTATCTTTTTGTAGCAAATCATTATCATGTTGTACATAACATACATTTGGAACTTAAATTTGGTTATGGTGGAAGAACATGTGTTTCTTATTATATTATTATTTATATCAATCACAGTTTATTGCCAGATAAGCAATTCTAAGGTCAAACTAGTCTAATTAGCAGCATTTTATTCTAATTCATTCTGTATTTTATTCTGCATAATGGTTATATTTTTAAAACAAGACTTCTTCAAAATATTTCACATAGGCAGCATAAAATGCAAAATGTCTATTTAAGTACAACACAAAATTATTTCACTTGAGTGAAATATTAAATTCAAACATCAACAATAAAACTAAATGTTCTGGTGTTCTCAAACTTCTGGAATATAAAGGTTATTTCTGTTATGTAAGGCTTTAATCACATGGCACTCTATGAAATGCTAATGCTAGTGGCTTGTTTACAATTCTGTTTTTATTTTTTTTAATAAATAAATAAATGTCAATATATAATTTTTGATATTACTATTAATAATAACAACAATTACTATTTCTACTACTTCCACTAATACTGCTACTACTACTACTACTAATAATACTAATAATAATAAATAATAGGTAGATTCTTCAGTAAATCAAGTTATCAGTACAATCATATGTGACTTGTACTAAGATAGCAGTGGTGTTCCTGCCTGGAATGAAGTACTATGCAAGGCAATCATCATCCCATGTCGGCACGGAGAACAGGTAAAGCTGCCTTCATGGTAGATCTGTGTGATAATTAATTTCATACTACATCCTGAATGAATCCATGAAGACATTTTAGTTAGCTCTCTAGCTAGGTCTAAATTAGCATAACAACAGAATGTTATAGGCATAGTAACATATCCATCATACTCAAACATGATTTCCACAAGCACAAAGTAGAACACAAATGTCTGAAGTTGCCTAATATCTACATTTTCTCTCCATGGTAATAGCAAGCTTAGAACAAAAATACTCATTCTCCAGCTACTGGCATACTTGCTAACAATGCTAGCATTATAGCTTCAAAGCTCACTAACCAGTAAAAGACGCTATGAAGAAATGTTACATGTGTCCAGAAACATGAACAGAACTGTATAATGTTTTCAGTGTGCAAGGTGTTCACTGTTATATAGTGTCCTCCAGAATTATTAGCAAGTATTACTATACTTGCTAAAGATTAGCAAAAATATCTTCTCATATCATGTTTGCTGAGACAGGGGGGGGAAAAAATCAGGGGACCATTCCTAAACACCATCTCTCCAGATCTTTGAACCAGGTTTTCAGAGAGGGAACGCAAAACGGTCTGAATGGAAGATTAAAGATGTTTGGCCAATGGGCCACCTCATATTTATACCCCAGTGAAACATAAAGTCTGAAAGATGACCAGTAGTGGATTGTTTCTATTTTCTCGCATGCGCAGACTGAGAAAAATGAACAAAATCAGAATAAAAGTATGCATGTGCTGAAAAACCTGATTACTGAGCTAAAAACCAGGTGTACTTTTTCAGATTTTTTATTTGGATTTCTAGGCCTTAATGCAATGTAAGAAATCGAAGTATGCTGTTTTCATGACCTCTTGAATAATCTGATAACTGCCAAAATCTGCTAATGAAAACGCATTCACTCAAAGAGAAATTCATGTAAATGCACTCACCAAAGGAGACTACTGTCGTTTTCAGCATAACATCTAGCTGAACATGTATTTGCATATTTATGCTTCTTTGTCAAATTCTAAAAGGTACTGTATATTATTATTACTTATTGTTATAATTTTAAATTCTTATTATGATTATGATTATTATTATTATTATTATTATAAATTGTTATAATAATAATAATAATAATAATTGTTATTTGTACAAGACACGTTATTTCATAGCCTCAGTCTCCTGAGGTTGCTGATGCTGTTTGTGGGCTAGAACAGGGGCAGATTCTGGCGTTCTCTGAGTACATAAATGCTGGTGTCATTAGGGCAAAGTAACTACAATCTGAGTCATGCTCCTCTTTCAGCTAGTCTTAATGGTCCTACTTACTGAGGCAGAAGAGCCTGCTTGTAGGCTACAGAGTCATGTGGAGCGACCTGAATTTCAGACAGATGGAGATCTCATCATTGGAGGCATTTTCTCATTTCGTACTAGGCAAGATGGCTACATAGACTCATTTCGGAGCATGCCAGAAGTCCGCCCATGCTGGGAGTATGTATATACACATACTAAAACATTCAGTTTCATAAGTTATCAATGTATATAGCCCCATGTTGCTGTTATGTGCATGCTTGTATAAATTGTTTCTGTTGTTTGACCTGAATGACTTTCATTACTGCCTTAAATTTTCTTAAGTTTAAGTTTCAGAGAATTCCAGTTTGCACAGACATTGATATTTGCTGTGGGGGAAGTAAACAAAAATCCCAACATTCTGTCTGAAGTCTCACTGGGATACAAAATATACAATAACTGTGGATCTATGGATATACTGAGATCTGCAATGGCACTGGTGAGTAGTCATGAAAGCGCAACAACAACTGCCAAGTGCACGTCTCAAACTATCCAAGCCATTATTGGACATTCTGGGTCAACGCCAACTATGGGTTTTGCAAGAACTGTTGGACAGTTCCATATACCAGTGGTAAGAAAAGGATGCATATTTTCTTTAAGGTTTATGTATGTATAAGCCTCATACAAAGAATGAATTAACTTTAAATGTAAATGTTATTTATATGCAGTGCTCTATGTTAAACAGATCAGTCATTTTGCCACCTGTGCTTGCCTGAGCAACAGAAAAGAGTTCCCTTCCTTCTTCAGAACCATTCCCAGCGATTACTACCAGAGCAGAGCACTGGCTCAGCTAGTCAAACACTTTGGTTGGACCTGGGTTGGGGCTATAAGTAATGCAAATGACTATGGACTGAACGGCATAGCGATGTTTATCACGGCAGCCCACGAGGAAGGTGTCTGTATAGAGTATTCAGCAGCTTTTGAGAGCACAAGTCCATACCACGAAATACTCCGCATAGTGGATATTATTAAACATTCCACATCTAAAGTGATAATGGCTTTCATGTCCCACAGAGAGATTAAAGTGTTGGTAGAAGAGTTATACAAGCAGAATATTACAGGTCTGCAGTGGATTGGCAGTGATGCCTGGATCACAGACAGCTCTCTCACAGAGAGCCTGGGACATGCTGCTTTGATTGGCTCTGTAGGTTTCACTGTGCCCAGGGCACAAATCCCTGGGCTGGGTCCTTTTCTACAGGAAGTCAACCCCTCACAATTTCCCAACAGCATGTTTCTTAAAGACTTTTGGGAAAGCACGTTCAACTGTTCACTTACTTATAAAGCAAGTCAGAGGACATGTAATGGTTCTGAGCATTTAAAAGACATAAAAACCCTCTTTACTGATGTATCTGATCTGAGGTTCACCAACAATGTCTACAAGGCTGTTTATGCAGTGGCCCATGCGCTACACAATCTACTCTCATGTCAGCAAAGCAACCCTTCATTTTCTAATGCAAGTTGTACTGAACTTTCCCAAATACAGCCTTGGCAGGTGAGACAAAATAATAAAATTCATCTGAAATGTAATAAGAAAATAAGTGCAACATAACCTAACTAATTTCTTGGACAGTAATGTTTCAACACAATTTGTCTTTTAAAGGTTTTACAATCCCTGCAGAACGTAAATTTCATCACACCTCAAGGGGAAAGTGTGTTTTTTGACAAAAACGGAGATTCACCAGCAAGATATGAGCTGATCAATTTGCAGCAGGTCAGTGAAGGAACCATGAAAGTTGCCACAATTGGACACTACGATGCATCTTTGCCTAAAGGCCAACAGTTTACTATAAATGGGAATCAAATTGTCTGGAATGGAGGAAGCAAAACAGTAATTTTTCTTCTGCATATGTGTACCATGTACATTCTCCTACAGTTACCTAACTAAAAAAAAACAAGCTTATTTGTACAAAGTATGTGCTTATTTGTTCTGCAGGTGCCAGTATCTGTGTGCAGTGAGAGCTGTCCTCCCGGCACAAGAAAAGCTGTGCAGAAAGGAAAGCCTGTTTGCTGCTATGACTGTATACCATGCCCACCAGGAGAAATCAGCAACATAACAGGTACTAAAAAAAGCAGACAAGATCTATAAATTGATTAAAACTACTCTCTGACCCTGTAATAATAAGTGTGACAATAACAATAGATATAATTTGCAATTTCTAATTTGTTTCAGATGCACCCAATTGCTTGAAATGTCCAGTGCAACAGTGGTCAAACACAAGAGGGGATGCCTGCATCCCAAAAGAAGTTGAATTTCTATCGTATGAGGAAATAATGGGGATACTGCTTGCACTATTTTCTTTGATTGGAGTCTTTTTCACCATTCTGACAACATTTGTTTTCTATTGTTATAGAAATACTCCCATCGTCCGAGCCAACAACTCAGAGCTGAGCTTCTGCTGCTCTTCTCACTGACTCTGTGTTTCCTCTGCTCACTTACTTTCATTGGTCAGCCCTCTGAGTGGTCCTGTATGCTGCGCCACACAGCGTTTGGGATCACCTTCGTCCTCTGCATCTCCTGTGTTCTGGGGAAAACAATAGTGGTGTTAATGGCCTTCAGAGCTACACTTCCAGGCAGTAACGTCATGAAATGGTTTGGGCCTCCACAGCAGAGACTCAGTGTATTTGCCCTTACTCTCATACAGGTCTTTATCTGTGTGCTTTGGTTAACAATATCCCCTCCTTTCCCCTACAAGAACATGAACTACTACAAGGAAAGAATCATATTAGAATGTAACATAGGTTCAGCTATAGGTTTCTGGGCCATTCTGGGTTATATAGGGCTCTTGGCTGCTTTATGTTTTGTTTTAGCTTTTTTAGCTCGAAAGCTGCCTGATAATTTTAATGAAGCCAAGTTCATCACATTCAGCATGCTCATATTCTGTGCAGTTTGGATCACCTTCATTCCAGCTTACGTCAGCTCTCCTGGAAAGTTCACTGTAGCTGTAGAGATATTTGCTATTTTAGCTTCAAGTTATGGTTTACTCTTCTGCATTTTTATACCTAAATGCTATGTAATGTTATTGAAACCTGAAATGAACAATAAAAAGCAAGTAATGGGAAAGACCAAATGATATGGGTGTATCTTGTACGTCTAAATAAATACATTAAACCTGGCTGCCAACTCTCATTTTTTTTACCTGATAAAGGAGGTCCAGATCTATACACTGCATATGGAAACAGAGACATTGTGTTTCCACCGGAGGGTAAATGCTATAAAACTAAATGATGAACTAGAGACTAACTGTTTCATAAGCACTTTTGATATGAACCTGGATCTTTAAAGTGACTCATCTATAAAACATGATTATTATTATTTTTATTTCAAGCAACAAATCCAAAATCTGAACCTCACCCAAGTTTTCTTTCATTCCTTCCAAAAGGAGTTACAGCAACATCCCACAAATCACCTGACTGATCTGTATGTGCATCAGGAATTAGCCAGCACAAAGAGACAGAAATCACAACGAACTTTCTATTCACAGAATACTAAGACTACTTATGGTATTGTTTCAAGTCAGCCTGAAATTAAAATTGACCTTTTTTACCATGTTAGTTAATGCGCTTGGTCATATTACGCATGATTGATCACATCATATCACTTAAAAGACATAATTCTTATTTTCCATAAGCTCCTATCAAAATGTAATGACTTAAGCATGCATCTATGCATCAGTTGGGGGTAGGGGGTGGAGTTGGTTGGGTGAATATATTAACTAATAAAATCATGTTTCTCCTCCCACTCCCACCCATCAGAAATCTGTGATGGTACAAAAGGAAAATGTGTTATCATTTTTGATTCAGACTCACTTTAAGGGCCAAAACTCTTACTACAGAGCTTTGCAAATTCTTTTTCCTTGCTGAAAAAAACAAAGATGGGCCTGTGATGGTATAAGTGTGCTGGACACAACACTGATATTTCTAAATGTAGGAAAAAACAGATACACGCTCACATCTACATAAGACAAACACAGATTCTTCAATTAAATTACACCATGGATAAGAATATACCAATGAAGAATTGACTAATACAATGGAAACCTATGAACACAATTGCACACAATGGCATATTTAATTAACATAACTAATCACACATGGTGCAACAAATATATAATTACTCACGGATGAGGAATTACAACTAGAAACAATAAAGAGCTTAATGCTGCATGTACATTATGACTGCAGATAGAACAAGGCAAACTGGATATCCTATATCTTTCAATAGAGTTGTAAAAACCAAAATTCTGCCAATCCTTAATGCCACAATTGGTCGCATACTGTCGCTGTTTACAGCAATTCTGCTATGACGCATGAAACAACATTTTTTTTTAATGCCAACAGGTCAACACAGCATAAAAACCACAGAGGCCAAAACTAGAACTAATGCTTTCCTATCCTTATCTGTATCAAGCAGTGTGGCATGATAAATATCTGCACACAGGCTGTTGTTTTATGTTGTTAATTACTTGCTTACAAACTCTTTGCTTTCAATTATTGTAGGTGAGCAGTAGACATCATCAGATGCTTCCCTGGTAATGTTTTGCCCAGACCTGTAATGGAGGTACTTCCAGTTTCTGCCTTTTTTAGGAGCTTTCTGATTACAGCATGTTACTTGGTTAGTGAAAAACACTCTTTTTCAACCCAGAAAAAAATCTTAGCTGCTAAGCAGTTTAGATGCTTCTATACTCTTCAGAATTCATCCTGTGCTGCTATTAACAATCACTTTGATAAAAACAGGCGGTGAAACAAGCTGGTATGCTTCGGATTACGAGCAGTTCCCTTTTTTCCACCATACTTTTCTCTTTTCATCAGTCTGGTCTTCATGTTTTCTGTCCATAATGCTTTGACCCATAAGTCTATCATCTTTAAAGAAATGGTTTTAATTCAAATCCAATATGCTAGATTATAAAGCCAAAACAAGAATTTTTGTCTTTAAAGTAAGTATTTATGAACTGCACCACACATGGCTGCTTTGATTCAAATTCGTAACGATACTTATGACCATATAAAAATTTTATTTTTACTATACTTCTGCACATAAATAAGCTCAACAGTGCAACTCGATACAAATGTGTTGCTCATTAAGTGAGGTAATGCAACTGCACAAGTAAATCCCACACCCCAGAATACAGTCAATTTGAGAATCCAGAAAGATTATATAAACGCCCAAACAGAGGACAAGGTGTTTTTTTTAAGGGCAAGAATGAGTTTCCTGCACACATGGCTTCTGTTCACTCTAGTGAGAGCTGCTGACCCTCCCTGTAGCTTAAGAGGCCCATCTAATCCTCCTCAGCTCAGTAGAGATGGGGATGTCATGATCGGAGGAATCTTTTCCTTTCACAACAGCTGGGACCAGGCAACACACACGTTCACATCAGGACCACAGCAACCGAAATGCAAGAGGTGAGGGGACATTAAGGAAAAAACATGCATTTATGACTGTTAAAAGAAAAAAAAAAGCAAGTTATTGAGCGGAAAGTGATTGTGGAATTACATCCACAATATTTGTTCTTATTTGTCGCAACTGGTATTTATTTTAAAATAACAAAAACATGTATTAATCCATGTTACAACTGTAATTAATGTGTTTAGCTACTGAAGTTCATTACATTTAACGAAACTGTGGTTACATGCTTTTTCTCCTTCCTTTAGTTTGAGCCTCAGAGAATTTCAGAATGCACAAACAATGGTATTTGCTATTGAAGAAATCAACAACAGAACAGATATTCTTCCTGATGTCAGTTTGGGTTACAGAATCTATGACTCCTGTGGATCAGTAGAAATGGCAATAAGAGCCTCCTTGTCTTTAACTAATGGCTACAGACAGAGCCTGTCCTGCTCCGGAACTGAAACAGTGCAAGCAATAATAGCCGAAACATCATCCACCCCCACTATTGCCATATCTGCCACAGTGGGACCTTTACATATGCCTGTGGTAAAACCTTTTCATCTTTCTACTTTGTAAAATCAAAACAGCCTTAAATTTTGCATTACAAAACATGTTTTTATGTTAATAAATATTTGTATTTTTAGTGTTTTTTTTTATAACACAAACTATTGTATGTATTGCAGATCAGTCACTTTGCAACATGTGCATGTCTAAGTGACAGAAAAAAACACCCATCTTTCTTCAGAACAGTTCCTAGTGATTACTATCAGAGTCGAGCCTTGGCCAAGCTGGTCAGCCATTTCGGCTGGACATGGGTAGGAGCTTTGTGCAGTGATAATGACTACGGAAACAATGGCATGAACACATTCATTAGTGCAGCCAAAGAAGAGGGAGTTTGCATTGAGTTTTCTGAAGCATTCTTTAGGACTGACCCTAGAGAGAACATTCTGAGAATAGTTGATATAATCAAGAGTTCAAGCTCCAAAGTGATTGTAGCCTTTGTCTCATATTCTGACATGGAGGTTCTTCTAAAGGAAATGGCTTTGCAGAACATCACTGGATTGCAGTGGATTGGAAGTGAATCCTGGATCTCTGATATGAATATTGCCACTACTGAATGGCAACATATTCTAAGAGGGTCCATGGGTTTCGCTATCCCAAAGGCAAAAATCTATGGTCTGGGAGAATTCTTGACCAAGCTTAACTCTTCCTCTGAAGTAGAACTTTATAAAGAGTTGTGGGAGACGATATTTGAATGTAAACTTGCCACAGAAGAAAATGCTGGGATGAAAGAGATATGTAAAGGCAATGAAAACCTCAGTGAAGTGCAGAACCAATATACAGACGTTTCAGAGTTGCAAATTGCAAATAACGTTTATAAGGCAGTGTATGCTGTTGCTTATGCCCTGGATAAAACATATAACTGTTCAAAAAGAGAGAGTGGACAGGAAAGTGTTAATGTGTGCACAAATAAAACACATAATCATCAACCTTGGCAGGTACGTCTAATGATGTAGCCTAGCAGGGAAAAAAAATCGAATTATATTTTATCTAAATGTGCAATACTTTATTTAGGTACTCAGTGAACTGAAGAAACTCCATTTCTCCACAACAACCAACGAAGAAGTATACTTTGATGAAAACGGAGACCCAGCTGCAAAGTATGACCTCCTAAACTGGCAGCAAAGCAAGGATGGTAAAATAACATTTGTTAAAGTGGGTTTCTATGACGCCTCTCTGCAAGCACATCTTCAGATTTCATTTAACAACATTAGTGTAATCTGGGCCAACAACAACCACCAGGTAATCCTTAAGAATCACTACTTATGTAATGTAAATACTTCAGTACAGTATATCGCTGTTGTCGGAAGAAAACCTCATATCTCCATTTTTGTTGTTTTGCAGTTTTTGACATCATTTGAAAATACCTGTTACCCTTTACATAGTGTATAAATTTCATGATGAATTGACAAAAAGAAATGACCCAAAATGACTTGGAAAAATGTCTGGTTCCATTAACTTACATTAAAAGTAAAGTAGGTTTTTTTCTTCTCCTGTAAAGTTATCATTTTGGAGATACAAGTTTTTTTTCCGACAACAGCGATATGTTTGTTGCACTTGTTCTACAACAGTTCCAGTTCCAAAAACCTTTGTAATATAATATCAGTACAACATAATAATAATGTAATCATCTGTGTTCTGCAGGTGCCAATTTCTGTTTGTACTGAGAGCTGCCCCCCAGGCACCAGGAAGGCTGTGCAGAAGGGAAAGCCTGTTTGCTGCTATGATTGCATACCGTGTGCAGAGGGAGAAACCAGTAATATGACCGGTATAATAAAGACTACTAGGTTTCCCAGATTCGTAAAATAACCAGAACTTCTAATGTGGCAAAAGATTTGACTAAACGTGTAATACAAAGTCAATATCAATAGTAGTTATGTTCATTCACGTTTGTTTTCTCTTTCTCATCTTCAGATTCAGTAACCTGTGTCAAGTGCCCACCAGACCTCTGGTCTAATGACAAAAAAGATAAATGCATCTTGAAGCTGGTTGAATTCCTAGCATTCGAGGAAATAATGGGAATCACTCTAGCGCTATTTTCTTTGTTAGGTGTATGTATCACCATGGGCATTGCTGTTGTGTTTTTTGCACATAAGGACACACCAATTGTTAGAGCAAATAACTCAGAGCTGAGCTTCCTTCTGCTCTTCTCACTGACTCTGTGTTTCCTCTGTTCACTTACTTTCATTGGTCGGCCCTCTGAGTGGTCCTGTATGCTGCGCCACACAGCGTTTGGGATCACCTTCGTCCTCTGCATCTCCTGTGTTCTGGGAAAAACAATAGTGGTGTTAATGGCCTTCAGAGCTACACTTCCAGGCAGTAATGCCATGAAATGGTTTGGTCCTCCACAGCAGAGACTCAGTGTTCTTGCTTTCACTCTCATACAGGTCCTTATTTGTGTTCTTTGGTTAACAATATCGCCTCCTTTTCCGTACAAGAACATGAACTACTACAAAGAAAAGATAATATTAGAATGCAATCTAGGTTCTGCAGTAGGCTTCTGGGCTGTGCTGGGTTATATAGGATTATTGGCTCTTTTGTGTTTTGTTTTGGCTTTTCTTGCACGGAAGCTGCCTGATAACTTTAATGAAGCCAAGTTCATCACATTCAGCATGCTCATATTCTGTGCAGTTTGGCTCACTTTTATCCCAGCTTATGTCAGCTCTCCTGGAAAGTTCACTGTAGCTGTAGAGATTTTTGCTATTTTAGCATCTAGTTTTGGTTTATTACTCTGCATATTTCTCCCCAAGTGTTACATAATTATACTAAAACCAGAGAAAAACACTAAAAAACAAATGATGAGTAAAGCATCTGTTAAATGAGTTAGCTGTTGACATTCACTATTACTATGGACTTGTTTAAAGTATACAGCCTGTGTAAAGCAAATATCTGTTGAAATGATCTTAGCTGAAAATGTCTAAAAGAAATTATTTTATGAATGTACCATATCCTTTATTCCAATAAATCAACTTATAGATTAATTCTTGGCTGATTTATCAATTACTTGCTATACAATATATATTTCCAAAGCAATGCTAATGTTCTTTATTATTACTAAAGCAAATGACACACCCACAAAGAAATGATGTGAAACTGTGTGTGCAGCACATCCTATACACTTAGCGTCAGACAAATACGGGCTATAAATGAGGGTAAGCGCAAGGCTTGGCCACAGAGAGGTTCTAACAACCTCCTTCCAATGCTGCTGCTAGAGCTACTACTACTAATCTCCATGCCCATTCAGGCAGAGGAGTCAGTGTGTAGGAGACTGGGCACAGCACTGCTGCCTGAACTGACCAAAGAGGGTGATTTCAACATTGGAGGCATCTTCAACTTTCGCACAGGGCAGGATGGACAAACATTTACATTTCAGAGCTTACCAGCACAAGCAAAATGCAAAACGTAAGTATGACAGACAACGAACATTTTTCTTCACTTTTTTGCCTTATTTTAACAATTTATCTGTCTCTAGTTTCAGTTACAGGGAGGTCCAGTTTGCCTTCACCATGATCTTTGCAACAGAGGAGATAAATAAAAAGTCAAATATTTTACCAAACCACACACTGGGATATAAAATCTACAATGCATGTGGTTTTGCAAATATCATCGAGTCTGCAATTGCACTGTCAAATGGGCAAAGGCCTATTATCAATGAAAGCAACTGTACTAAGGCAGACACTGTTCATGCTATAATAGGCAACTCAGCATCCACTCCAACCATGGGGTTTGCAAGGATAATCGGTCGATTTTCTATTCCAGTGGTAAGGCACCGGTCTACTGAAAATGTAGTGACTGTACATGAAATGTTTGTTTGCTATGTACCTGAGACAATCACAGCATAGATGTCTTCAGACTGCTCTAAATTACATTTCTATGTACTGTATCAGTTCAGTAACTTCGCAATGGGAAAATGACATATGAATCACTATACAGCTTACAATGAGAAATTAAGTGTGAAACACAAACACGTCATGTTTTCAACTTTCAAACAGTAGGACCTGTAATAAATTAGAACAAAAATAAATCCCTGAAATATTCACTCCCACCTGCTTTCTTTTTGTCTTTTTTGTCTGTGCACAGATCAGTCATTTTGCCACCTGTGCTTGCTTGAGCAACAGAAAAGAGTTCCCTTCCTTCTTCAGAACCATTCCCAGTGATTACTACCAGAGCAGAGCACTGGCTCAGCTAGTCAAGTACTTTGGCTGGACCTGGGTAGGAGCCATAAGTAACAAATATGATTATGGAGTGAATGGAATCGCCACATTTATTACGGCAGCCCAAGAGGAAGGGGTGTGTATAGAGTACTGGGAAACCTTTACAAGCACAGATTCCGTGAGTTCACTAGCACAAATAGTGCATGTTATAAAACACTCCACAGCAAAGGTGGTAATGGCCTTCATGTCTCATGTAGAGATTAAGGTCTTGGTAGACTTATTACATAAGCAGAACATCACAGGACTGCAGTGGATTGGCAGTGATGCCTGGATCACAGACAACACTCTCACAGAGAGCCTGGGGTATGCTGCCCTTATTGGTTCTGTAGGTTTCACTGTGCCCAGGGCTCAAATCCCTGGACTAGACCTTTTTCTACAGGAAGTGAACCCCTCACGATTCGCCAACAGCATTTTTCTTAAAGAATTCTGGGAAAGTGTCTTTAACTGCTCACTGACTCCAAGAGCAGGTCTAAGGACATGTAATGGCTCTGAGCATTTTAAAAATGTAAAAACTTTCTTTACTGATGTATCTGACTTAAGGTTCACAAACAATGTCTACAAAGCTGTTTATGCAGTGGCCCATGCTCTCCACAACCTGCTTTCATGTGAGGAAAACAAAGGCCCCTTTCCAAATGCAACCTGTGCAAAGCCCTCTAACATACAACAATGGCAGGTGTGTTGCAGCCTTCACAAAATGTCACATTCAGAGGCCTAAATAGATGAAGAACAAATATAGAATATAAATAATTGCCATCTGAAAGAAAAAAACAAAGTATCTCTTTTGGATTCACCTTTTTTTCAATTTCAGGTCTTACACTATCTGCAAACTGTGAACTTCAGCATGGAAGTGGGTGAAACTGTGTTTTTTGACAACAAAGGTGACTCTCCTGCAAGATATGAACTGATAAACTTGCAAAGGGCCACAAAAAGTACAATGGAAGTGGTCACCATTGGCTACTATGATGCAACCCATCCTAAAGACAAGAGGTTTACCATGAATAATGTCAACATTGTTTGGGCAGGAGGCAGACAAAAGGTACTGTCTAATTAGCTTTAGATCCAACGTCCCAAGTGGACGTTTAACACTCTGGTGGCTTCTCATTGCGCAATCCAACACAATAAACATGTGAAAACATGTCACATTACAGTTTATTATTGTTATTGCAAGACTAGTTTTTCCCTGATGTGTGGCAGGTGCCAGTGTCTGTTTGTAGTGAGCATTGTCCCCCGGGCACCAGGAAGGCTTTACAGAAAGGAAAGCCTGTCTGCTGCTATGACTGCATACCCTGCCCACAAGGAGCAATTAGCAACACAACAGGTAATGTTTTCCTGCTTGCTCTTTCAATAGTTGCAGTCCACCAAAAAAGGATACAGTGGAGACTATAAACATAAACCATCCACTTGAGACTTAATTAAACATGTTTTGAAGTTTCAATTTTCCAAGACCGTCTGCAGAAGCAGAGATGGTAAAAACATGTAATCAAAACATGCAATCAAACTTTGATTGATTCCATATTAAATTGCCAAACAAAGTATGACTGTTTAATTGATGTTTTCATCCAAATGCAGATGCATCAGATTGCCTGAAGTGCCCAATGGAATACTGGTCAAACCAGAGAGGTGACATGTGTATCAAAAAGGAAGTGGAATTCCTATCATACACAGAAATCATGGGGATGATTCTGACAATTTGTAGCTTACTTGGGGGATTTTTAACTACAATTATATTTGCAGTTTTCTTTTACTACAGACAAACTCCCATTGTAAGGGCCAACAACTCAGAGCTGAGCTTCCTGCTGCTCTTCTCACTGAGTCTGTGCTTCCTCTGTTCACTTACTTTCATTGGTCGGCCCTCTGAGTGGTCCTGTATGCTGCGTCACACAGCGTTTGGAATCACTTTCGTCCTCTGCATCTCCTGTGTTCTGGGGAAAACACTAGTGGTGTTAATGGCCTTCAGAGCTACACTTCCAGGCAGTGATGTCATGAAATGGTTTGGGCCTCCACAGCAGAGACTCAGTGTATTTGCCCTTACTCTCATACAGGTTTTCATCTGTGTGCTCTGGTTGACAACTTCTCCCCCTTTCCCTTATAAGAACATGAATTACTATCAGGAAAAAATCATATTAGAATGCCATTTAGGTTCAGCTATAGGTTTCTGGGCTGTGCTGGGTTATATTGGATTCCTGGCTAGTTTATGTTTTGTTTTAGCTTTTCTGGCTCGCAAACTGCCTGATAACTTCAATGAAGCCAAGTTCATCACATTCAGCATGCTCATATTCTGTGCAGTTTGGATCACTTTTATCCCAGCTTACGTCAGCTCTCCTGGAAAGTTCACTGTAGCTGTGGAGATATTTGCCATTTTGGCCTCAAGTTCTGGTTTACTAGTTTGTATATTCATTCCAAAATGTTATGTTATTCTTTTCAGGCCAGATGAAAATACAAAGAAACATGTAATGAGAAAAACACCAAATTAGCTGTAAAGTTACAATATAAAAAACACACTCTATTAAAAACAATCCCTGTGACAAAGTCCACTGATGAGTTGCTCATTTAATCTGCCACACAATGAACTATGAAATATTTAAATCTATTTAATACAACCTTATTAAAGGCCTACAAAAGCTTTTCTAATCTCATCTAGAACATAGACCCTGTCGGCATTACCACTACATAAAGCCCCCCTTTAGTGGAGAAAGATTTACCATAATGCTATGGTCAAAATCTCCTCTTTTTCCATCCCCTTCACGCCTAAAATAGTTAGTGGAACACAGAGTACAAATTCTTTCAACCACAAATATTTAGTGAATGATTTACAATTATGAAAATATAAATATGTCATGTCTTATTGGTCATGTTACATTTTACAGTATCATCTACAGCTACAGGTTAACTGCAATCATAATTTACAATTACGATCATAATATGATTTTAAAATGTCTAATGTCATTACATTTTATTTGCTTTAAATATCTCAGATAATACTTCCTCACACCTAGGCTAAATGGAATAAAAACACAGTACGTCATCATCACAACAGAAGGACATTTGTTCATAGACTCTGTGCATGTCTGCTCCATCCTTTCCTGTTCAAAACACCCCTCAGCCTTAAGGCCAAAGCTTCAAAAGGAAAAGACTGCTCAGAATTAAACTGCCAAATGGTATAAAACAGTCTTTCTTCCTTGCCTCCTATGTGCTTTCATTTGCTGCTTATGTTTATGATATTACATACATTCTTTCATGTCCTGCCTAAGTACTGGAGAGATAACTAGCTACAACATTACTTAATTTACTACTGTTAAATTATTAAAGTCAAACAAAACATTACATGTATTAAACAACACCTGACAACACCTGCACACTGTTAAAAACATGACATAACAACTAAATAAACATGAATACCACTTTCTATAGTAGCATTAGAAGTTTATACAAAGCAATAAATAAACTGTGTTTAAGAGTTACCTCTGAGAATTAGGGTCATTGTGCTACATATCAAATGGCCCTCTGCCTTGGTCACATGGGAGAGGCTATAAAACCACGATGCTCTTCTCTTCTGGAACTTCACCTGAGCCCAGCCTCTGAGATGAGAGGAGTCGCTCTGGTTTTGCTTGCTCTTCTCACAAGGGCGCCAAAGTATCACCATGCATCACCTTATTTGGGAAAACAACCAAATTATAGTCTTTCAGTGGTAAAAACTTTGCAAGCTGACAAAGGCTTTAGTTTTAGTGGGCACAAATACAGAGACATTAACAGAGAGACATACAGAAGGTAAGTATGGTTTAAAATTTCTAACTATGTTTTTTTCCTTACCCATTACAGATAATGCTTGTAACTTGAAGAGTGTATTACATTGAGTTTATGTTTCTATACAAAGATACAAATCATAACACAGACTGAATGAATGTACTCATTAGGTCATTATTTAGCTAAATGGTTCATCATTATTAAAAAAGTCCACTTGTGGTACAAATTACTGAATTAATGGTGATATTAATTAATTACATGCTTTCTCTTATTTCAGGTGCTTCCTAACAGAACTATGTAAGGTGCTGTGTGTTGTGGAGGCATGCAAGGTGAACACAGTGTTCCTCCAGGGTGTTTTTTCAAAATGCTCCTGCATGCGTGTGTGTGAGTGCCAGAATTGGCAAGCTTTAAGCTGCTCCCTCATATCAGATTATGTCAAAACTACAGAGAGACTGCACCTGGTGAGAAACAACACTCTCTGCAAACACTGAACACCTAAGTAAAACTGCAATACATGTTTAAAATGGCACTGTAACTTCACTTTCCCCTTGAAGGTCTTAAATTGATAATTATGACTGTTCCTAATGAAATTAATGAAAACAGTAAGCTGGAAATAACATTAATATTAACTTTAGCCTGACTTTGTGTTAAAAAATATATTCATATTTGTGCAAAAACATACATGACAACTGAAAATTCTACTGATAACTAGATTTTGTCAAGCAAGCCTTATAACATTTTCTATCTCAACAGGTTTTCCATCTTTCCAGCTCTGTTTGTTTAGGTTTTTGCCATGTCTTTTCAACCTTCATGACAAATATGGGAAGCAAAAATATATGGCTCATGGCACTGCATCAACTGATTCAGAGAAATCTACCTATTCAGAGAAATACAAATGAGACAAACTGTTTGTGTTTGTCTTATGTCACCATTTTTACAACTGGAGAAAGGTGGATCAATTTAACAATCAAACTGTGGCTCATGACTGAGGCCTTGATTCTCTCACCTAATTTCAGTGGGAAAACCATAACGCCATATGGACAAGCTGGCTTCACAATATTGGAGTTGACAAGTCTGACTGAGTCTTTACTTACTTTGAAGCTATTAGACAGACCAAAGCCTGCTTTGTTTGGAATCTTTTGGAAGGACATGTTCTACAGCAGCCCATCTGTCTCTGCCCATGTGTCTGCTCCTCTGCTCTGTGGATGCCCTCTCATACATGTGCCTCATGTGAGTAGGAGCACTGACACTGTGGGGAATGAAAGCAGAGAATGTTGTGCATTCACATGTGTTTTATACACTGACTTAGTCAGATACAAGGTAAAGTTAACAATGAAGATGCAATGTTGTGGCACTGTGAACTGTGAACGCCTCCATGGCTCAACAGCTACTTTTTCTTTGTTAAAGGAGATTACTGTAACTAAGGTTAAACTGTCAGTGCAGATTAAGATAAAAGACAAAATTAAATAGTGTGGCAGCTGTAAAAGAAAAACATTCTACAACATTCTCTTTTGTCCAGAATTATAGATATTCGCACATAATGATATGCCATATATAACATATATCTATTATATTACATTAATATATTCATTTCTTATGCATATTGAACTGCTTACTAAAGGAACAAACAGACGAAAGCCAAAGAACTGAAACCTGCTTTAACACAAACCTGTCTGCTTACAAGAACATAAGGTGCCTAAAAGGTGATTTTTTTTTTCTATTTACATTTTTTCTATCTATATCATATATGCCACAAATTCATATGGAACGGTAATAAATTATCCTTATGTATGTTTAATTTCTGTTTAGTTGCCACAGAAGATGTTCCACATCTACTGAAAAGATCTAAGGGAATTATGGGTGTACAGTTGACAGTCATGTCACTGTTTCTACTCTGTCTTACAGCAGCTTTTATTTTCATCAGCTACCAGCAAAGACACACTCCCAGCCACAGTTCCAGTAACACCAAAATAAGTTTCTTGCTGCTTTTGACAATCTCACGGTGTTCAATCAGTCCACTTACAGTTACCGTTCAACCATCTCGATGCTCCTGCAAAGTTCGCCACACTGTATTTGGGATCACCTTCGTCCTCTGCATCTCCTGTGTTCTGGGGAAAACAATAGTGGTGTTAATGGCCTTCAGAGCTACACTTCCAGGCAGTAATGCCATGAAATGGTTTGGGCCTCCACAGCACAGACTCAGTGTTCTTGTTTTCACACTCATACAGGTCCATACTTGGGTATTTTGGTTAATACTTAATTTCTCTTTCTTTAACATGAATATAAATCAGAATCTAGAAAGAGGCTTTGGATCAGCTACAAACCTGTGGCCAGTAATTGACTGGTTAAGACTCCAGGCTGCGTTTTACTTTTTAATGGCACCTTTCACCATGGCTTTTTATTTATCGCTGCATGACAGCACGGACCCTATTTATCAATAATGGTGCAGCAAAGAGTTTTTGACAAGTAACCTTACTACCATTGTATAAATCAGTACATTTTGAAATGTAAAAACAATTTTGATGCTATTAAAATTTTTGATGCTATTAGCCACTAATGTGATGAAATAAAGAATCATTACAATGAGTTAAAAGGGTCTTTTACAAATCAAGCAAAATCATGATATGCTGTATTTCAAAATAATAAATAAATAATAATAATAATGAAAAGTACATGACAGTGGTAATTGCCATGACCCCCCCTCACCTGAGTGAAAATCACCCATCTAATATCACCCATGAAGAACTGCTGGTTAAGGCAGGAGCCAGCATTTGTATGCAAAGTTTGGGCACGCCTGGTCAAATGACATTTGTTTTTCTAATTTTCAAAATAAATGAAAATAAACTAAAACATCCTCTATAGAGATCACACTTCTGCAGATTTTAATGCGAAATTAATGTTTATTTGGTGTATTTAACATGTTATTAAAAACATAGAACGTGGCCTGTGCAATTTTTTTTATATTTTATGTTTTATGTAGAGCAGGGGTGTCAAAGTCAACCACTACAAAGGCCATATTAAAAAAATCTCAACAAATCTGTGGGCCAGCTGTGTTTTATTTTATTTTTACTTAACATTTTGTCATGACCCCAACTGGCCATTGGCCAAAACCACAATGGCAAAAAACAGGCACTAAATACTTGAACGATTCAAAAATCATTTTTTAATTATTTTATATTGAACAACAGACTACATTAGCTGCAGATAACTGTTAAACCTCTTTAAATGTCCCCAGCGTACAAACTGTAGTGCAGCTCATAGTGAATGTGATTTAGTAATATTAACAGAAATCTGAAATCATTTTGTGAGCCAAAAAGGATTGTGACACGGGCCTGACTTGGTCCGCAGGCCTTGTGTTTGACACATGGGCTGTAGAGGATGTGTTAACTTACTTTTACTTAGAAAATCAATAAAACCCTGTCATTTAACTGAGGATGTTCAAACATTTGCACACAACTATATCTCTTTCCTGTTCTGTCGCATATTACTGCTGGCTATGTTTTGCCCACAGTGTCACAAAAAACCTCTATTGTAAGTCAGGAAACACCTAATTGAGGTTGACCACTGCAAGCCATGTGATCAGTCACTGGGCACTCTACAATTTAACATAAGAACTAGAATAGACAGAAAATAACTAAAACTAAAGAAACAAAAGAGAAAAAAGGAAAAAACGTACAACATTTAGTTGCTAATTTCTATTTTGTGCTTACCTTCATATGGGAACACATCTGTGCTGCTTTTCATTTAGACAAAGAAAAATGTAATTTTAATTATATATGTTAAGAAAACACTAAACCACACAATTATAAATGCAATGGTTTCAGAATTTCTAGATGCTTTGCTGCTATGTAAAAAGCAGGCCCCAATGGTATATAGCAATTACATATTTAACTATGTTAAAAATATGTTTCCTGTTCTGACAGATATATGGTTCAATAAAAACCATGCAGACAAATTCTATGCAGAAAAAAAATGGTGAAACTGTACATCATACATACTTTTCACTTTGTGGTCAGTCTCAACAAACATCTTAAGCAAAGTTAACAATTTGCAGTTGATTTTTCTGTATTTCTTACATTTTTCCTATTTATTTATATTAATTGAGAACATTCAGTGCTACACATCTCAGCAGATTCTGTTATTATATGGTTTGGGTTTCCACAACTGAAAGTTATCATCCTTGTCTGACATTCACTCTCACAAAGGGCCTTTTGCGAGAACCACCAAAAGAACAGATCGAACTAAAGATCATATACTCTAAACCAATGATTCCTGCCCTGTGTCAAATTTCTTCCTTATCCCAAGTGAGAACAGGGGGCATTAGAGAAAAAAAATCCAGAATAACTAGCTTTAATTTTGATGCACAATCTTGGTGATGAGAGAAAACAAAATAGCTAGGATACTTGTGTTATAATCGGTTTAGTTATGTTTGTTCCATATTTATATATTATGATATTCATCCCACAAAAAGGACTTCAGCAGTAGAGAAACACTAATAATAAATAGAAAGGGCACAGCTGTGCAAGAGCAGCGGTTTCATGTATCCATGAGCAGACGTGGATAGTAACATGCTGCATTTACTCCGTTACATATACTTAAGTAACATTTTGAACAAATAGTTTTTAAAATAGAGTACTTTAGATTCTTACTTGGGTAGATTTGTGAGGTCAAAATGTACTTTTACTCTGTTATATTCATATATGCTCCTCCTGTTACATTTTTAAATATTTAAAAAAATGTTACATATGTTTTGTTTGCTTCATTCAAACGCACCTTACAAAGCTCTGTTCACCAATCAAAGACATACCTGACCTGAGCAGGCTTGTCTTTGTTTTTTTTGTTCTATTTTTAGACACTAGCTGAATTTTAAATTTATTCTTCAACATAGAGTGTATCCCAACAAACTGAAGACCTGTATTCAATTAGAAAGCAATTCAATTAAAGTCTAGAATGCAAAGCTCATAAACACATATTCCCTCTCTCCCAAAAGTAACACAGGTAAAGGTAGATAAGTTATTAGCTAAACCTAAATTAGTAACTTGCTCCTTGAGTAGTCTTTTTACTAGATACTTTCTTACTTTTATTGAAGTAATAATTTAAATTACTATTTTTTACTTCTGCTTGAGTAATTATCATTTTAAAGTAATGGCGCTTTTACCTGAGTTCAGTTTTTGGCTACTCTACCCACCTCCGTCCAGGAGATACTGATTGAGATCTGATAAAGTAACTTGCTACTTGACTCTTTATGGGAGCAAGATACTGACTGATACTGTTGTTTTTAGTGCTAAAGTAGTTTTGTCTTTTTTGGATTTCCCTCACAGCTGCCGTGAGGATACTGCTGGTCTTCTTAAAGAATAAGGGGAGAGTACACTAGTCTGACACCTAAGAAGCAGTAGAGCACAAACATCAGGACAAAGCTGAAAGACAACATAGCACATTTTGCTTGCAAACTGATATTAGATTAATGTAACACATGAATAAATCACACAGGAGAGCAGCGATGGTTCTCAGATCTTTAACTGTGTATTCTCATGGACTTTAATGGTTTCCAAAAGACTACAGGGGGAGGAATTGAGGAGACTATGGCCCGTGTTCACAAAGCATCTCAGATTAGGAGTGCTGATCTAGGATCTGTTCCAGTCAATGAAGTAAAAATTAAATAAGAGAGGAATCTGATCCTAAATCATCACTCCTACTCTAAAAATCTTTGTGAATATGGGCCCAATTTCCTGTTTGTGTGTACTACCTTATGTGTACACTCAATGTTTAGTGCCACCCAGTGTGCAAACTGTGCATAGCACCATAAAGCCATTCATATGCATTACATCAAAATGGTTGACACACCCCATTTGGATTTCTGGATCTTACACTTATTATTTTAACGTGAATGAGTGGGCTAAAGTGCTGTATTCTAACAGAGCAGTCATAACCATGATGAATTCAACAGCATACCACCTAATACAACCTGTGAAATAGCATGGCATTTATGGCTGTTGGTGGAAATGGTTCACTAGTCTTGGATATGGTAATTTGAAGGCCAGTACTGATTACTAATGTTTTTAATGTACATATCTGCTGACACCAATAACAACGCTGATCCCCCTGGTACCACAGAAAAATATAACATTCATTTATAGAATGATTCAAATGCAGACATTTTAGCACAGTATCCCTAAATGTTCTGCTCTTCCAGAGTAGAATAAATACATTATCAAATATGTTTTAAATGTTGGTCAAATTTAAACATCTGTACAACGCTGAATTTTTTTCCCCAAATTAACATCTACCGTTACTATTTCAACATCATTGTACATACCAAATCCAAATGCTTCAAAACCCAACTAGCTATTGTGTTTATGGCTACTGGTTTACTACTAGCAACCACAAGCTGAATATTCTCAATCTCCAGATCTTAACCCCACTTTTACTTACTGAAGACAAAACTGAAGGACAAATTTCTCAGAAACAAGCAGAATCTGGCAGAGCATCACCAACGAAGAATTGCAGTGCCTAGCAGGCTGCAGACATCAGACAGTGATGGATCGGGAAAAATCTGTGTACATAACCATTACAAAAAGTCATTTTCATGAAAAAAAGTTCTTCAGTGGTCAGGACCACCATGGACCCTCACAGGGCAGGTACTATTTGGGTGGTGGATCATTCTCAGCACTGCAGTAACACTGACGTGGTGGTGGTGTGTTAGTGTGTGTTGTGCTGGTATGAGTGGATCAGACACAGCAGTGCTGCTGGAGTTTTTAAACACTGTGTCCACTCACTGTCCACTCTATCAGACACTCCTACCTTGTCAGTCCACCGTGTTGATGTAAAGTCAGAGACGACAGCTCATCTGCTGCTGCGCAGTTTATGTTGGTCATCCTCTAGTCCTTCATCAGTGGTCACAGGACGCCGTTGGCTGGATATTTTTGGTTGGTGGACTATTCTCAGTCCAGCAGTGACACTGAGATGTTTAAAAACTCCAGCAGCACTGCTGTGTCTGATTCACTCAGACCAGCGCAACACACACTAACACACCACCACCACGTCAGTGTGCTGTCAGTGTTACTGAAGTGCTGAGAATGATCCACCACCCAAATAGTACCTGCTCTGTGAGGGTCCATAGGGGTCCTGACCACTGAAGAACAGGGTAAAAGGGGGCTAACAAAGTATCAGAGAAACAGATGGACTACAGTCTGTAATTGTAGAACTACAAAGTGAACCTATATAGTAAGTGGAGCTGATAAAACGGACAATGAGCGTAGAAACAAGGAGGTGGTCATAATGTTATGCCTGATCGGTGTAATATAAAAATGCTAATGGTAATAGTTTTTTTTTGCTTAAACTGTGCTACATTTTATATCTGTTTTTTTCACTGAATCAGTGCTGTGATTAGGATTTGAGGACTGCAGACGTTTTTTTGACTGGAAAAGCCTGAATATTGTGAAAATTCTACAATCCATAAACAACGTAAGCCATACTACACCAAAACTGCCTTGCCTCTAAGGAACACGTGATCAGTTCCAGGAGGCACACCTCTGACAAAACCCAGCCTACTGGCAAGAACCAACTACGCATAGTCATCAAAGACATATATAAAACAAGGAGCATTCCTTTTTGTCATCTTTGAGCTGCTGAGTAGTCATGGGTAAGCTCATTGTAATGCACTTATGTTTTTTGCTCTGCAATCAAACATGCTCTGCATGTGAGCTCCTGGGTAAGTTTGAAATGCGTGATATGTTTAAAGAAGGTGACGTCATGATAGGAGGCATTTTTCCTATTTTCAACAAACAGGAGAATGTCTTTGCTTCATTTGAGATAGAACCACCTAAGGCTGACTGTAAGGGGTGAGTTTAACAAAATTATGCAAACAATGTAACTGAAAAGTTATGTTTAATATTAACTGTGTATTTTTTTTCTGTCCTATCAAAATTTTTCACAATAGATTTGACCTGCGAGCTTTTCGATGGACAAGGACCATGATGTTTGCAATAGATGAAATAAACAGTGATGGTCGTTTGCTTCCCAACATCTCTCTGGGATATAAAATTCTGGATTCTTGTGCTTCTCCTTCTAATGTTTTGCGAGCTGCCCTCACCCTGGTGAGCGAGTCAGAGGAAAAACAATCTTTCTCTCAGTGTCGTCCACCTCCCATTGCAGCTCTTGTAGCCGAATCAGGATCTACCCAGTCTTTAGCTGTGGCTGGGGCACTTGGGCCATTCAGAGTGCCAGTGGTAACACCTAAAAAAATTAATAAATAAACAAAAAATTATTAATCAAGATCCTTCAAATGTAAAACTACATCAGTTCAAAACTTAATTGTAATTTATTTTTCACTCAATAGGTAAGTTATTTTTCAACTTGTGCATGTTTAAGTGACAAAAGCAAATATCCCACATTTTTTCGCACAATACCAAGCGACTACCACCAGGCAAAGGCTTTAGCTTTCCTGGTCAAACGATATGGATGGACGTGGATTGGAGCTCTGCAATCTGATAATGATTATGGTCGAAATGGGATTTCAGCCTTCACAAAAGAAGTGGAACAACATGGGGTTTGTATTGCGTTTGTTGGCACAATTTTGCGGACGTACCCCCAAAGTAAAATCCTTGAAGTTGTTGAAATGATAAAACAATCAACAGTGAAAGTGATTCTAGCATTTGTACCCGAAGGAGATCTCTATCCTTTAATGAAAGAAGTGGTAAATCAGAACATCACAGGAATACAGTGGATTGCAAGTGAAGCCTGGGTAACCGCTGACAGACCATCCACTCCAGAGATGTTCAAATATTTTGGAGGGACAATTGGATTTGTGGTCCGAAAGATGGCCATGCCCAAACTGGAACCTGTTCTCAAAGACATCAGCCCTTACCATGATTCACAATCCAGTTTTGTCAGCGACTTCTGGGAAACAATAGTGGGCTGTAGGCCTCCATCTTCAGTAAATCTTTCATTTAACTGGTCTAAAATATGCACAGGAACAGAAAAACTAGATTATACAAACAAATTTTTCGATGTCACACAACTCAGAGTGGCATATAACGTTTATCAAGCAGTGTATGCAATTGCACATGCGCTTCATCAAATAATGTTTTGTGAGATGCCTGAAAGCAATTTCTCAAGACTGTGTCTTAACACATCACAGATAACCCCTAAACTGGTACGCTAATTTCAACTGAATTTAATTTGAGCATTGACAAGGTTCATAATTAACTGCTTTGACTGCATTACACTCTTTTTTCTCTCCCACAAGGTAAGTGAGCAGTTGAAAAAAGTACATTTTGTGGATGCATTTGGGGAGAAAGTATTCTTTGACGAGAATGGAGACCCACCTGCTTCTTATGAAGTTATAAACTGGCAGCTGCGGGAAGGGGAGGTGCAACATATTGCAGTAGGCCATTTCAGCACCTCTACAAATGGAAGATATGAACTTGAGATTAATGAGGACCTGATTGTTTGGAATACAGGAAATTTGGTAGTAAAAACATAAGAAAATTGCATTCATATCGTTTTGTTCAGCAATATACATTATCTAATATATACTGTACATCTACCAGACTCCAAAAGCTGTTTGCTCAGAAATCTGTCCACATGGCACAAGGAAAGCACAAATCAAAGGACTGCCTGTATGCTGCTTTGACTGCATTCCATGTGCTGATGGTACTATATCTAATACAACAGGTGCAGTAAGCTTTTAACCAATATTGCCTAAATACTCCAAGTTTAGTAGCCAAGTATATCTCTAAGCACACCTTTTCATTTCTCCTATAGGAGCAGCAGATTGTATCACTTGCCCTGAAGAGTTCTGGTCTAATGACAGAAAAGACAGCTGCATTATGAAAGTCACTGAGTTCCTGTCTTACACCGAAACAATGGGGATTGTCCTGATAGCTGTGTCACTATTTGGTGCATGTTTAACTTTTTCAACAATGGTGGTGTTCATATGTTTTAGAGAAACGCCAATAGTAAAAGCTAATAATTCAGAACTGAGTTTACTGTTACTTCTCTCTCTAATCTTCTGCTTCCTCTGTCCTCTCACGTTCATCGGTGAGCCCACCATTTGGTCTTGCATGCTGCGTCACACAGCATTTGGCATCACCTTTGCCCTCTGCATTTCCTGCGTGCTGGGGAAAACGATAGTTGTTGTGACTGCTTTCAGAGCAACACTGCCTGGTAACAATGTGGCAGGGAAGTTTGGGCCAGCCCAACAAAGGGGCATTGTGTACTCATGCACTGCAGTTCAAATTGTTATCTGTATTCTCTGGTTAAAGATCACACCACCATTCCCAGATAAAGTTTTTGAGCAGCGTAATAAAAAAATAATTTTAGAATGTAACACAGGCTCTGATGCTGCATTTTACTCAGTTCTAGGATACATCGGCCTCCTCGCTATAATTTGTTTTGCACTGGCCTTTTTAGCCAGGAAGCTACCTGATAATTTTAATGAAGCCAAATTCATCACATTCAGCATGCTCATATTCTGTGCAGTTTGGATCACCTTCATCCCAGCCTATGTCAGCTCCCCTGGGAAGTACACAGTGGCTGTAGAAATATTTGCAATTTTGTCTTCTGCCTTCGGTTTACTGCTGTGTATTTTTATGCCAAAGTGTTACATCATTCTATTCAAACCAGAAACAAACACAAAAAAACATGTAATGGGGAAAAGTTCAAAACATACCATGTGATGGCAAGAATAATAAAACATAAGCAATTCCATACAATGCTTCTGAACATTACGTTTTCACTGGGGACATGGGGACTATTTGGCCTTGCATGTACCTCACCATGATGAAGTGTTATGTATTTAAATAAATCAAATAAAGCTCCGTGTTCCTTGTGATACAGAGTAACATAACACAAACATATATATATATAATATATATATATAATATATATATATATATCAGATAGATAGATAGATAGACATATCAGTTATATATATATTTACATACATACATGAGAAAAATATGGTATGGTCTAGCTAACACTTTCTTTTGACTTTGTTAGACCTTGTTCAAATCTAACTTTGATGCAGTCAGTTGACACAGCTGAATCTCAGATGACTACCTACTCCCCTGTAGTGCACTAACGTTATGTAGTTGAAATAGTGGTTTCTACACCCAAACAGTACATTCTATGTCAAAATGTGAAATAAAATCCATCTATATGAAGCTAATTATTAGCTGCATGACTCCCAGTATAACATTTACAGCACTATTTGGGTGTAGAAGTTATAGTTTCATGGTCTATGCAGTGCATTAAGAATACAGTGAGCAGAAAGTCATTTTCAAATATTCAGCCAACTTGAGGTGACTTAACACTTATCCTAGCTAGCTAGTCTGAGACAAAAGAAAGACCTAAGGGTTAGCTAGCTAGTTAGTATACTTAACGTTTGCTAAACATAAAAGCTATTTTCTGAGAGACGTAACTCGTGTCGCCAGAGCTGGATAACAAAATATAGTGTCAACTCGAGCAAATAAATAATTATTGCATTTAGCTAGATTAATAACTTGTTATATCTCATGTATTCACAAATGGGAAATTCAAAACAACGAAGCCACAGTTAGCCGTTTAGTTAGCGTTAGTTAGGTTAGCTACTACGTTAGCATTAACCTGACTGACAGAATTCATACAAACCGACTGTTGTTACAGCTAACGTTGGCTAGCTAGTTCGCTTATACGATAAACTTTGTGGTTTGTTAACAAGCCAGTGTCGGTTATTAGTAGTTGCCTTAAGAAAGTCAGCTAGCTAGGAGGATACCTAACTCATGTTGGGGGGCTAACTTTAGGGAGCTAACAGCTAACCTGAGGCTGGCGCTGGCGAAGCTAATGACGCTAACTGGGTGAGACGTCTGACCAACGCAGAGTGTCGATGTATTTATTGATAACTTCTGACTAAAAAGTTCGTTATGGGACATGGAATACTTTACCTTCAACTACAAATCATGTGTTCGCTTTTCTGAACAAATGTTCTGGTTCACAGCTAACATGAATGTGGATTCACTCCCCTCACACAAGTGACGGTTGCCTCTGACGACTGAAGCTGCTTGTAGTAATACAAGCTCGTGCACATTATTATTATCTACATTCCTAAAGGTCTCCACAGGATTTCATCTGTTATTTAGATAAGCTGGCCTACGCAGCAAATAATGGTAGCCTGTTTTAATAATTATATTTTCAACTGGTCAAATTCAGCTATAATGTTAAAACATTACATAAAATTGCTTAACAATAAAATTGGCCTGTCAATTCATTTCCATTTGAATTACAAAATACCACTGGTGACCTCTTAGGCTTAAACCTGACTTATCCTTCAATACTTAGATGGACTATGATGATACATGCTAAGTCAGTCAGAAGGTAGACGGTTTTGAAATGGCATGGCAGGGGCTGTCTTAGCCCTAGGTAAAAGTAGGCTGCTGTCTAGGATCCCCATGAGCCACAGGCCCCATGAAAATACACATATATTCTGTAGTTGTTATGTTAAATAACCTATTTCAAAATGCATGTACATTTTGACAATTGCTGTTATTTTGCAATTGTAGTAGTCATTTTCAGTAATTTAGTTGCAGCTTCACCCACCAGGTCATGGTTATAATGGACTATTTCATGTTGTTACGTGATGGCACAACTGCATAAAAACAGACTGGTATGATGGAGGTACTTTAACGATAATGTACATAATGGGAAGGTTCTTCAGTGTGTTTTTTTTTTAGTTTGTTTGTTTTTTTTGCATGGGAGACTGAGAATCAAATAAAGTTGTTCAAGTGCAGCAGAGAAACACAAAAAGGGATGAAAGCAAAAAGTTTGACGCTACACTCCCAAAGCTGGCTTGTTTTTAGTCAGAAGTACAAGTGCTGCACAGGCTCAGCAGGCCGCACATGACGGTAGCAATAATTTTAGTATAGATAACTCCAGTTTTGGAGTAAATACTTATCCATTACAATTTATTTATAACTTATCTCAAAATGTAATGATATTTCATTACTTATTTCCTGGAAAAAAGTGATCTCAATACTCGTTACTTAACTTTTATGTTGCTCTGTATCAAAAGATTTGACTACATTGGTAGACTGGTAAAAGCAAAATGATCTGCCGATATAGTGAGATAATTTCCATCAATAAAGTTAAAAATGTTTGATATATAGACGATTAAGAATTTCACTTGCCATGATAGCATATTTTGCAGTGTAGATGGTTGCGCCACTTAGGAGCCCAAAGCCTTCATAATTTAAATATGTACATTCAGAAGACTCTTTGATGTGTTTTGCCTAGAGCCCCAGAATCACAAAATCCACCCCTGGCATATGGCAAAGCTATTTTAAATAACCTTTGATTATGTTTTTCTTTGTCTCTTTTCTTCAGAACAAGGTGCACATCTTCATGGACATGGACCATTAAGGCCAAGTGATGCTGCTGTAGCTGCTCTCTCATGCTCACTCAGGGCTGTTGATGTTTCAGGAAGCCCTGAAATCTATGCTAACTATGGGCTCTCCCTTTGTTTTGAAGCTATTATTTCTTCCAATTAATGTGTTTCTTTATGTTTGTCTACTGTGTCTGATTCACCTATGCAGAAATAACAGACCAAACATTTATAAGACTGTTCTTTATTGTAGCATAAGATGTTTTAAAAACTCTGAAGGTTTCATACATTTGTTTTCATTGAGTAGTGAGTCTGTGTGTAACTAAGCACCAGCATTTGCTTTCCTATTTTTTCATCATATGCTTTTTGCTGTTTTTGTCAGGTCTCAGCAGCACAACATAGCACTTCGGAGCAAATATACACAAAAGGAGGCCAAAAGCAGATGCTAAGATGGCAAAGACATGCACAGCAACCATATACTTTCCACGAGTGCTCACATAAACAGGGATGAAGGTTATCCACACAGCGAAAAAGATAAGCATACTGAACGTAATAAATTTTGCCTCATTGAAATTATCAGGGAGCTTCCTGGCCAAAAAGGCTATTATAAAGCACATGCAAGCCAAGAGGCCAATGTACCCCAACACGCACCAGAATCCTATCTCAGACCCCACGTTACACTCTACAATTATAGTAGCACTCATAAACTCAGTGTTGTAAACAGCAGAGGGAGGTTTGCTTGTTAGCCATATGATGCAGATAAGTGCTTGAATGCAAGAGCACAGTAAGACACTAGACCTCTGTTGAGCTGGGCCAAACCATTTCATCACATCACTGCCAGGAAGGGTCGCTCTGAAAGCCATCAGAACCACTACAGTCTTAGCCAAGATGCAGGCGATGCAAAGTGCAAAACTGATTCCGAAGGCAGTGTATCTGATTTGGCAGAGCCAGTTAGAGGGCTTGCCAATGAATGTCAGACCAATCAGAAAGCATGCACAGAGGAACAGGAGAAGCAAGAAACTGAGTTCCATGTTGTTGGCTCGGATGACGGGGGTCTTCCTGTAGATCACAAATATGCAAAGCACTGCTGCAGTCAAACAGGCTCCAAAGGTTGAAACAGCTAAGAGAACTATTCCCAAAGGCTCCTGAAAGGACAGGTACTCCAAGGCCTTTGGTATGCATTGGTTTCTTGCTTGGTTTGGCCACATCTCCTTTGAACATCTCAAACAATCAATTGAGTCTGTGATGGAATTGATGAAAAATACACTTCAACTGTACCATATAGTTTTACAGAGCAGTATGGAATAGCAAATAATGTCAGTTTCACACCTGTTTCATTGCTAATCTCTCCCTCAGCACATGGAATGCAGTCAAAGCAACATATGGGTTCACCCTTTCGTCTGGCCTTCCTGGAGCCTGGCAGGCAACTTTTGCTGCACACAGATACTGGTGCCTGTGAACCACAATGGATGAAGCACAAGACTGCAAGGCCTTCACTTTAATACACACATAATTACATACAGCACCTACATTAAATAAAGAAACATATTGCAATTTTTATAGTTTCCCCTTATTATACCCCTATATTACACTCAGGAAATAATTGTTTTAAAAAACTTAAAGAGTACCTTTGGAATTATTTTTATAAATATTTTTATATTTATATGTAATATATCTAGTGAGATGTATTGCAGCCCTAATGTAAAATCAATTGAACAAACAGTATCATGCCATTTCAAGCTACGAAGCATAATCAGTGGATGGTCTAAGTGAGTCACAAACATGCAGAATAGCTGAATAAGAAGTAGCCGTATGAAAGACAATCTGGCTATGGATGAAACAGCACACACCTTGTTCCCTCTGTGCCACATAATCACTGATTCATTAATGACCAGGTCTCTGTCCTTCCTCAGTGAGGCATCGTAGAACCCCACCCTGGCCAGCTGTAGAGAGCCATCATTTGCTACCTGCCAGTTCATCAGATCATAAGAGGCAATTGGGTCTCCATTCTCATCAAAGCGGACATCCTCTCCCAGTGTTGTGAAGTTTGTTCTTTTCATGTAGCTCAGGAGCTTTGAGGAAGATTGATAGTACAGACGGTTGGAAAATCATATATGAACACTAGTTGTTTTTTGTCCATAGCCTATACAAAACTTATGAACTTTTAATTGCCCCTAGCATTATTAAAAGGCCTGATATCAATCTGCCACATCTGTAGCATGTGATCAGCTACCAGGTACAATAACTTCTCTGGGCAGAAAAACAGTGAAAAAACAGCATCGTTGGCTGAAGCACCTGCCAGTTGGCTTCATTATAAATAAA